TTCAATGTTTAGAAGATCTGCATTCCTGAAGTGTTTTTGTATATTGAAGCCAGTTAAATGGTCAATATTTAGCTTATTACCTTGCTCCATACAAACTTTACAAAGCTAATGAATAGACAAAGTACCAATAATTGTTTACCCAAAAATTCCTAAGTGGTAAACACCACCTTTGCCTGTTGGCCATTATTGAAGGCAATAAGTGCCCTTTTTAGCCATCCATTATGATCCATATACTATTATTGTTAGTGGGCTAATTGCAACATTAAAAATAACACATCAAAAAGACAAAAAAGTTGAAAAAATCAAATAAATCAAATAAATAAAAAAAATCATGAAAAAATCAAAAAAATAATTGATTTTTGATTTTTTTGATTTTTTTTAAAAAATCAAAAAATCGCCAACCCTGATTTCCATCAATAATGACATAACTACACTATTGTATTACGCTCTTGAAATAAGAATTGTAGCATTACCCATTAAGTTAGCATCAGTGCGTTAACATTGTGTGCATTTGAGGCAGTCCCTTCTAGCTTTCTATCGCTGATTGGATTCCAGTGGCAGTGACGTTGCACACGTTCTATCAATGATTGGATTCCTGTGACAGTACGTTGGACGCATTCAAGCCTTGATTGGATTCTTGTGACTGTTACGTTGGACGCGTTCAAGCATGGATTGGATTCTTGTTACTGTGATGATGCAAGCACTGTTTTTTTCAATGAAACAGCTGTGGCATCTTGCAGAGACTTATCAGTGATGAATACTGATGATGATGGACTGAAAGTGGAAGTGTGCTGGACGTTCCAGATTTTTGGGTCCTGCTTTCCGATTTACTATGTTTACCAGTTAATATATTACCCCTCTGGAATTCCACACTGCAGTGATAATGTCTGTAGCAAAAAAAAAAATACTAACCATATTAAAAAATTTTACTTACATAAAAGTTGCAGTTGCACACAGGTGTTGGCTTAAAAATGTGATTGACAGAATCAGTGTATCTCATTCCAGCAAAAAATGGTGGCCATTTCTGCACGACGGGGTAATAAGGGGAATAAAAGGACACCCCCTGGGGTAATAAGGGATACCCCTAAAAACACATTTACAGTAAAGCCTTGGTTAGAAAAGGCTCCAGTTAACAAAAAATCAATTGACAAAAAAGAATTTTGATTAGATTTACCGTGCTCAGCAAAAAAATTTCACTTGACAACAAATTAATGCTTCATCGCTCATCCCCAAACTGTGCATAGAGTGTCAAGATAGAATTGTTCACCGGGCAACATAGAACGTGTTTCAGGTATACTTTCAGTTTCAGGTATGTTATCATATCAATAAAGGAAAAACAAGTAAAAACCACAGAAAATGTCATTTATTCTACATCTACATTATCTACGAAGGAAGAGGAAGACTTAAAATTACTGTTAGTAGGTAATGAGTTGTTAGTAGGTAATGAATGAGCACACTCTGCATGCTTCAAATGTTTTAAAATTGAGTTTTATTTCAAGCGTCCCTAATTACCCCATTCCCAGAGTTGGTTCAGGAGCCTTTTATTTTGCGTCTGGCTGCACTCTGGCACCTTACAAATAGCATATGGAATTTTTTCAAAGGTGCCATATGATAGCCCTTGCACATACATACCTTTAAAAACAGTCCAAACTTGTTTATGAAATGCTACATGGGAAGAAGTTATTAAAGAAAAATGCTCAAAACCATCCCTTATTACCCTGTTTGATGGTAAATATTAGTTTACTACTACCATCCTTAAATCTCTGTGTGGAATGTGGATCAAATCTATTTATTGTGAAATCAAATTTGACATGACCAAAAGAAGGTGTGTGACACTGTCTTCTCAAATGTTTACATGGCAGCACTATGTGCCCATTAGCCCATACACCATGAAAAATTTGCAGTCTATCCCATCATTTTGTGTAGTATCAAAAAACTTTGTTGGTATTTGTGAAATCATGAAAATTTTTTGCAAAAGTTAAAATGTTTTTTCTTATTTTAGAACATATTCATTGTAAAAATTTGTTGGTATTACTATAGATTAAGTGCATCCAAAAAAAGTTTTTTTTTTTGTTCAATTATATGTTTTTTGGGGTGTAGATAAAGAATCTGAAATCCGTTTTTGGCGGTCGGCATCGGAAAATCGATTTTTATATATGTCAATTTTTATATATTTTCTAAGATAAAATGCAAGTTAAATCTTGGCCCCAATATCCGTGGATTTATAGCGTTTTTAACTTAGCCTCGGTGACCCATATACTCTTACAACCACGACATTGCAGGCAATCACGACATTGCAGGCAACCACGACATTGCAGGCAACTACGACATTGCAGGCAACCACAACATTGCAGGCAACCACGACATTGCAGGCAACCAGACATTGCAGGCAACCACGGTTAGGTTAGGCTTTTTCGCCAATTTTGCTGATTTTTGCTTGATTTTTTTTTACAAATTAGAGCCTCAGGGAAAAAAATTGGTTTTCCAATGCTGACTGCCAAAAACAGATTTCAGATTCTTTATCTACACCCCAAAAAACATATAATTAAACAAAAAAAAACATCCTTTTTTATGGATGCACTTAATCTAAAGTATTACCAATTTGTCAGTTACAGATAAACGACTAGTGGATGTGATTGAGGGAGGCCTCGTTGTCATGGTATTAGTTTTTGAACCACTTGAGATATCGGAAGTGCGGCAGTTTCTGTCTTTCTGATGAGCTCAGTGTATCAATTGTCACTGCAGTTTAAGGTGTAACATGACCAGAGTCATCTGACCAGTCATCTTCCTATGTCCCATTCTTATTACAGGTCTTCATCATAGATTCATAGTGTCAAAGTTGAGACTTTCTAGCGCATTTAGCATCTAGCACAATAGCGTCTCTAGTTGAGACGCTATTGTGCTCGTCATGTCTGTCCGTCCGTCCGTGACGTCACATTTTTGTTGACTAGAAAATGTGCTCTCTGTCACTCACTGCAGTGAGTTACTAAGTTATATTTTTAGACTCTTCCTCAAGTTCATTTTTGAGTACTATTGTATAAGAAGACCAGTACCGTAGAGTATCATGGATAACAGCATTATCATGTATAAGGAATTGGTTTAAATCTTGAGTAAATGAGGAAATTAAAAATGAACTGATTTTAAAAAAATCTGTGGTTTGTCAACCTCAAGTGCGGTGTCATGGTGTATGTAATATATATATATAGGTGTCAGGCCAATGCTTATGCCAGATACATAAGAGTGGAATCAGTGGATTCTATCTGAAATTTTGGTATATATACCGGTATTCCAATTTAGTTGCGTATTCAATTTTGTTTTTGTTGTGCAGAAATACAGTTATTTATATCTATATATATTGTTGGAAGTATTGATTTCACCAAAATGCTCACCTCCAAGCTTTTGAAAAATAGCTCAATATGGAAATGTAGCACCATATGTGGAAGGAGCGTGTCCTCTTCACAAACTGTGGACTCGGCCAAAGCTCAGGTGGGGTTCTGCCCATCACTGGGCTGATTCTTGTTTGTCTCTTACAATTGACTAGAATATTTGGCTTATATTTTTTTTATCTTAGATGCATTACATTCCTGATCCTGAGGTTATTGAACTTAGGTATACCCAAGCAAAAATTTTGTTATGCGTCCATACTTTCATTTGCGATGAACTTTGCTTTTGGAAGAATTTTTTCTGGCAACAAATTTTGTATATCAAGCCAAGTTGGCCTTTGCATTTTGTTAGATTCTTATTTAATCAACAAAATTGTTGAAATTTTGGTCAATTTTATTATTGCATTGGTAAATTCTTCACAATTATTCATTCTTGTACTTCTTCCAGACTAAAGCAGCTACATATGATGACAGAACTTCAATCCAGGCTGCTCCAAAGAAACTGGGAAAGCTAGAACCTTTTGTGAAAAACCTTTTTCTGGGGAGGTAACCACTATATAACCACCATATTAATATTTTGGCTCATGATACAAGAATATTGTTGATTTGTGGTAAAACTATTATATATAATTTTTGCAATGTTTGTTCATTAATTGACACTAGATGCCATCTTTCCACTAAATTCTTATTGAATTTGTGCAAAACCTGATTAAGGATTAGAGACAATTTTATTCATGTTATTAACCTTTCTTTGGCAGTATTTTTCCATACCTAATGAATTTTCTTCTATGAATGTCAGTCTAGTATCTCAGTCACTTATATGATAGATTTGACAAGTTTGCACTTTCTTATATTACAGATTTGATAAATCAGTACTCGCTTACCCCATGGCACTGGATCGAGAGAGACACGATACCCTTCATCAAATGGTTGTCCCAATAGAAAAATTCTTTCTTGAAGACCGTGAGTAATGTGCTGTGGTCAGATAACTGTTGCATTATTTGATTTTGCTAATGTCTTTACACCAATTAGCAAACATTGCCATCTCTAAATTTTAATTCTATTGCTTGTCTGAATTGCTATTACTTATCTGAATTACCATTAGATACTTGTCTGAAACAATTCATCAAGATTACCATATCCAGAAGAATATCTGTTCATGTTACCCTGTTTACTATCAACAGTTGACAGTGCTGCCATAGACCGGAATGCAAAAATTCCCCCCGAAGTGCTGCAGCAGGTCAAAGATCTTGGTCTTTATGGGATGCAGATCCCCGTTGAGTACGGGGGACTTGGACTGGGAGCAACTGAATACAGTCGTTTGTGTGAGATTATTGCCAATGATGGCAGCATTGGTGTCACAATCTCTGCACACCAAGCCATTGGGTTCAAGGTTAGTATTACCTGTCATACATGCTTGCAGTAGCTGAGGCATTTAGTTATCAAAAATTTGTACTTGAGTGGAATTTACCCGAAATGCATTTATTGGATATGCAAGGTTTTATCATTTCATTGTATTTACCTATTTATGTTACCATACAATTAATGATTGCAATGCATGGAGTTGCCATATTGTCTCTTTAATACTGATACTTATTATGAGCTGGCTTATAAATGCTTAAATTACAGGGTTTGCTGTTGGAGGGAAGTGAATACCTGAAGAAGAAGTATTTGCCTGGCCTAGCTACAGGAGAACTGCTAGCAGCTTTTTGTCTAACAGAAGCAAACAGCGGTTCTGATGCTGCGTCCATCCAGGTGAATAATTACATTCTTGTAGATGTTGAGGCTGTACTGTGTAGGTAGTAAACATTTTTTTCTTACTCTGCTTCATTTATAGTCAATGATCTATCTGAACTATTTTGTATTTTTATGTTTCCTCACTATCGCATTAGTAATGCGTAAATAATAATGAATACGTATTGATCATGAACTTTGACATTTTGATTAAATTATCCGCTTGTCATGGTGTTTTGTACATCATTTGGTGATACACTATCTATTCATTAGGAACATTAAAACTAAGTTTTTTCAGATGTAAAAGCCAACAAACAGTTTTACTCACAGACACGAGCCACCCTAGCTGAGGATGGCAAGACATGGCTGCTGAACGGCAGCAAGATGTGGATATCAAATGGCGGGACGGCTGATGTCATGACAGTTTTTGCCAGGACTGAGGTAAGCCTATGCTTTCAGTCTTTTTCCTACTGTTTCCTAGCATTTATGGTGAGTTGCATTGCAAGAAGAGGAAATATTAGCTTGGACTAATGGACACGATCAACCACGTTCTTGTGAAGGCCAATCGAAGCTGAAGGATGATTAGGAGAGTTGCCGGCCGCAAAGCAACACAGTGAGAAGCGGGGAGGATTATATAGCCTGCGGATTTTGTTTATGCAGGGTAGGTTTATGTACCATTTTTGTGTTCAGTTGTCACGCCAGGGACAAAACAATGAGTAGCCCCTGCAAGCATATTTTCGGACACAGACCGAGGAAAATGTGCGTTCAGGCCCCAAGTTGAAGGGGATCCGCTGGGACGTGTAGAGAATATATGGAAAGAAGAGGTGGGACAGGATAAACCACACGAGAAGATAAGCAATTAGAGAAAAAATCAGGAGAAAGGTGTAGGGGTATCTAGGTTGGAAAATCATTGAAAAAATTACATCTTTCATACTTGCGGTGCCAGCGGGGGCTTTTACTGTTTGACCTGCTTCACGACGCTTGCTTACAACGTTAGGGGCATTTTCGGAAAAATAGTAAATTGTGAATCAATCTGATGCTATTTGGGAAAGGGTTTGATTAATTATCAGTCGGTGGTTGTTTTGGTTAGGTACCTATTGTGGCAAGAAGACCAAGATACGTGGCAAAATTTCAATTCCTGGCACTTACTAGTTCCTGTGCACTTTTGTAAATGAAGCGTTTGTATATTTCCTTATTCTTAGGTTTCAATTTTATTTTGAACTTTCATACCCAATATGTGAAGTTTTAAGTGCCCGTGATCGGTGTATCCTAATGACATAATTATGAGAAACTGCGCCATATACTATATGACGTACTGCGCGTTCTACTACCTATATGTATTGAAAATAAAACTCTGCTTATGTTTTCAGGTTGATGGCAAGGACAAAATCACAGCTTTCTTCGTGGAACGCGCCTTTGGGGGCGTGACCAGCGGTGCTCCTGAGGATAAGATGGGCATCAGAGGCTCTAACACAGCCGAGGTAACTCCTTCATAACTTCATCTTTCAACTCCCGTTTGACGTTTTCTTCGTACCGAGACACTCTATGCACTTTGATTTGATTTGAATTTAAATTATTCTCCGTTATCGAAAGTTTAAAATTCTGTATCCTCGTCCGGGAGATAGTTAAATTTAGCCGTGGAAATAACTTCAAGATTGACATTTTTTATTGCAGGTTCATTTCGACAACACTCCCGTACCGGCCGAGAACGTCATCGGAGAGGTGGGCAAAGGATTCAAGCTGGCAGTTACTATCCTCAACTCAGGTCGTTTTGCAATGGGCTCCACCACTGCTGGTTAGTAGTAATGCAATTGCTAAACTGTGGGAAAAGCCGTGAAATGTTCACAAAATTTTTTCTACTTAAATCGAACTTCTTGTTCAACAACTAATCATTAGAGAAATTTTCAGTTGCCCTTGTAACACCAGTATAAATGCTGTGTAAGTGTCAGCTAACATTTTCTTACCCGGGTCAAACTTCTCATTAACAAACTAAATGGAAGGCTGAGAGTTCAGTTGCCATTGGCACGCCGTTGTAAATTCTCTTTAACATACTAAAAACCTTTCCCCATATCATGTCGATTCCATGTCGAACTTTTCATTAAAGAGCTAAATGGAAGGAAAAGAACATTTACAGAGACTTGTGCTTCGTTGCTAACGTGGAAATAGTCGAATAATAGTTGGCATGAAAACTTCGCGGTATCATGTCATATTTTTGTTGATGTGTTCATACCAGCAAAAATATTGAACATGATACTGGAACATTTTTGCTTTATTGTTTTCGTTTGTTGCAGGCGTCCTGAAACGCGGTCTTGGCATGACCTTGGATTACGCCTTCACTCGCAAGCAATTCGGTCACACCATCAACGAGTTCGGGCTCATCAAGCAGAAGTTCGCGTCCGCTGCTGTCAACATTTATGCTATGGAGTCCATGGCCTACCACGCTGCTGGTCTCATGGACTCTTATGAAGAGTATGACACTGCAGTCGAAGCTGCTATTGTGAAGGTATTCTTGTGAGTGCAATGAGGAGAGCAGGTTTTTTGGGTTTATTTCTATATCATAAAGCTATTTGGCCAACAAGGAGTGTCAATTTGCTTGCCAAGCTTTTCTAGAATTTGGCTGTGATTATTATGAAACAGCGTATTACAAATTAATGATTGATGTTAAAAATGTACTTTTTAAATTTCAAATCTTTCCACCTTCTTGTGATTCCATGTTATGTTAGCACATGTTTTAACCGGATGATAGTAAACTTAATTTGCCGCCTGCTGAGTCTTGCTTCTCCACATCCATCATGTAATAAAGTTAATCATTGTAACATTATGTAAAATTGATTTACTTGCATCAGGTGTTCAGCAGTAACCAGGGATGGATTCTGGGCTCGGAGCTGCTACAAATCATGGGCGGTTTAGGCTACATGAAGAGCTATCCATACGAGCGCTACCTCAGGGATGGTCGGATCACCCTCATCTTCGAGGGCACCAACGAGATTCTGCGCATGTTCATAGCTCTCATGGGTATACATGAAACTATGGTGCCTTTAGTTTCCTTAATATGTGTATCGGACGTTGTTGTTGTTGTAATTGCCCATCCTGGTAGTGGCGACTAGGGAGGGGGGCGGTGATAGGTAAGTTTTTCTGGGCACTCGGTGCCACTGGGTTCCACGACCATCACTGGCTCGCTGACCCGCATGAACCATTTGATTGCATTACACAAAACCCTGGACAAGCCAGGTACTCATTTATCAACCAGAGGTGGATGAATGGCTGAGTTGACCAGTGGATGAATGGCTGAGTTGACCATGAGCCGAGCTTCCCAGAAGAACTTGTCCTCAGTGGGACTCGAACCGGGGAGCTGGGTGCGAGAGACAGAGTCTCTCACCACAGCTGTAGGATCTGTATCGGACGTAGCAGCCCATGGCCGCACTGCCTAATTCTCCTTTGTATTAATGTAAATCCTTTGTATTGTATTAATAATTGTAATATGTATACTTCTTATGTATTCATTATGAAGTGCATTTTTGAATAAGATTTTTGCGTTTTCTCTCAATGAATAAGATTGTTTGTCAATTGTTCATTTTTTGTTGCATTTTTTTATTTTTAGAAATCTATTTTTTTCAGGTTTAGGAAAGATAAAAACTTCAATGGCCATTATTACCTTTTTGTTGCCAGATTTGTTCGCATTTCTAATACTTGACACTAATTACTACTTTCTCTTAACGTATGTAGGGTTGCAACACGCAGCGCCGGAGCTGAAGACGCTCGTTCAGAAGTTGCGGAATCCCTTCAACAATCCCGGTTTTGTCATTAAAACTACACTGCGCCAAATTCGAGATAGAAACGACCGTCCAAAGCTGATACACGACTTGCCTGTGAGTAACTTGAGCTCAGAAGATTTTGTTGTCAAACAGACTTCTCTTCTTTATCATTTTGATTTTACGAAGTGGGCGGTGAAAGAGTCGATCCATTTATGTTGCCTGGAGGAATTCTACTCTATTAAATGCGGAAATCATTTCATGTGTCATTCGTATATTTCTGTTTTTATTCAACTTACCGTGTGAATTTTTTTTAACTCGTTACATAAGTCATTATTATGTTTCTCACGCCAATGCTTTGGAATGACAATTGTTTTGAATTAATGTGCTCTTGGTTGATAAAGTTTGATGAAGTCCAGCAAATAGGTGTACGTTACTTTTTCTTTTTCGGTCTTTGATACGATTCAGTAAGTAATCATCATGGATTTGTAGATCTTCCTTTATTATATAAAGATATTGAATGCACAAGTTGTTTTACAATTACTGTTGAGAATATCGCAACTGAGATTCGCCGACGGGTTGGTAGTACACGTCTTGCTGCCTCTTGTACGAGCGAGAAGAGTGTCTCTTTCAATACGGCAACATATGTCTGACTTTGCAAGACACGCGACATAAGAAAATATTGCCTAGGGAAATATTTTGGCAGAAGTTATTAAGTTGAAGGACTTTTGCGTTTTTTTTTTATCTTTAGCTAATAATTAATTTTAACGGTAATTGTGTTACCAAATTACCTTGTGGTTGGTTTGCAGGGCTATGTGCACCCAAGTCTGAAAGAAAGCGCTACGTCGCTCGAATACTGCGTCGAGAGATTCCGTTTTGCTGTCCAGATCATACTTTCTAAATACGGTAAGTGGCTTTGGCATCATGGATATCTATCATCACTTGATGCCTAGTTTTCTTGATTAGTTTTTTGTCGACCTTTAGCATTGAAGCACTTGATCGTTTTCTATGTTAGTTTCGTTTTGATGTGGTTAGTAGAGATGAGAATATTTCCTTACGTGCTTAAATTCCAAGCTATGATGGACCTCCTCGTATAAGATTCAGGCATAATGATATATTTATTCTTTCTGTGTATGTTCAAATTTTCGTGATTATCTAGCATGCATTCAAATTTTGAGTGCCGGCTACCGAAATATATATATGCATTGGAGGTGGAATCATACCGGCGTTTTCTGCTTTGGTTTCGTAACACAACTAATTTCTGTTAATAACTATTCTTACCTTTGTTCCTATTTTATTTCCAAGAATATTATCCAAGTTTGCATTTGTCGGTCAAATCGTCGATTTTCACGGGTTTTACTTGACTCCTGTTTAAAAAATTATGTACTCTGGGAGTCTGGGTGAATTTCATTGATAGGTAGATATTAAATTTTTTATAATTGGTTTTCGTCATTTCGTAGAGTCACATTTATTTAATTCAGCAGCATCTTAAGACAGGAAATGTTCTCAGGCTTGGACGTCGTGAAGCCACAGCATCAGATGGACGTGGTACGCCTAGGCGACATGGCCATCGACTTGTATGCCATGACCAGCGTCATTGCCCGCGCCTCCCGTGCATACTGTGACGGCATTCATAACGGCGAACACGAGGTAGGTTTACCGCGGTACTGATTTATCTTTTTGAGCTCATACTGTCTGTTTTGGAATGCTCGAGACATTGTGGATTTCACAAATTCTGCAAAAATATTGTATAGCCTCGTTATTGCCATTTACAAATTCTCCTCTCCTAATTATTCACGCTTACAAGTATTTACTTAATTAGTTGCTTAAATCGCCGAGTAGCCAAGAAATTTAAAAGTTTTAAATATGCCAGAAAACAAAGATGACCTCAATTATTTGGCATGTTCTTTGATTTTAAATTCTTACTTATTCCTGCTAATTCATTGATATTTCCATTAAAATATGAAAATAAACGTATTTATAAACTGATCGTATGTATGCCACAGCTTCATGCACAGCTTCTTGTTAAGTAAATGTTTGCATTTTAGACGTTGTATTTTTTAGGTTTATAGTTTGCCTGAATGATGTGTTATGGTTGAGATGCTGCTGGCGAGGACGTTCTGCAAAGAGGCGGAGCAGCGTATCCGGCGCCTCATGAGCGGCGTGCAGAACATGGGCGAGACTACTGACCTGGAATACTCGGCGATTGCCGACATGCTTTACTCAAAGGGCGGCTACGCGGCCCAGCACCCGCTTACTGTAGAGGGATGGTAAGCCAGCACCCGCTTACTGTAGAGGGATGGTAAGCCACCGTCCGCTTACTGTAGAGGGATGGTAAGCCACCGTCCGCTTACTGTAGAGGGATGGTAAGCCACCGCCCGCTTACTGTAGAGGGATGGTAAGCCACCGCCTGCTTACTGTAGAGGGATGGTAAGCCAACCTATAAGTGATACCATTTCAACTAATAGTTCAACAAGGAACTTGATTCAAATAAGGAAAAATTTGAAGCTCGTCCATCGCCTACCCGTCTTTCGTTGAAACTGGCAAGAAGGAATTTAGTAACCGAATTGATTATTGAAGCTGTCTTAATTATAATATCTATTTATGGCTTCTATGACTGCCTCTTGACTAACGTTAACTAAGGCGCTCATAGGCAGTGAGGGAGAATGAATTATTCTACGTTATTTCCATTGCTACATGAATTCAAAGGTAACCGTTTGAAAGACTAGTGGTGTACTAACAAACATTTATTCAAAAAGATAATTACTCTGTTAACTTAGACTGGAAATTGTTCAAGTTCGAATTGAGAGGCATGAGGGGTATTGAGGGCCCTTTCATTAGGTGTTGGTTCATTCACTCAATGGGTTAAACATTCGCCCAGCCACTGTCAAAATAACTTCCCGCTCATTATTGAGGTTGTGCGATGAAAATGGTTTGTTGGGTTTGTTCTCTCGGCCTCCTTTATAAATTTACTTTTTTCTCGTTGAAATGTACAAGGATGAATAATTTTATATTTTATTTATGTTTGCGTGTGGGAAGAAACGACGATTCGTATTCTTAAGGAACCAAAGCGAATATAACGTCAATGCAATATTTTTTATTACTAGCATAAATGTATATTTTTACACAGTTGATTCCTTACCCGAAGTAGGCTTTTGTTCTCTAATAAATATTTGCTTTCATGTGAAGTTCAAGGCTATGCAGGGCAGAAATAAAATTTCGACGGGCTGATTGAAAAGTTTTAAAGTTGGAATTTGCATGAGAACTGAAAGAAACTTCGTTAGTTATCGTAGAGAAAACCAGAGTTACGTTTCTATGTATTAATGAGGCAATAACGGGTTTGCATTTTTTCTAAAAATATTTTTTGTTAATGTTGAAATTTAATATTAGTAAATCGAAGTAGGAGATAATCCACGTTATTAATTTCTCGTGGATGTACTATTTACGTTCTCCAGCAATTTGGTGGTATAGATTCGAGGTAATCAAGCCAAATATTTATCCACAAATATTTTATTCAGAGTAACATTTTAACATTCAACGCTACTTGAAAGGAAAGCTCTAAGTTATTATCACTCGGTGTAAATAACTTGATGCAATAGTGCCTTGAATGATTAGAATGTACCAATCAGATTTAACACGGAATGACGACAACGTTGACAATAATTAACCACAGTTACGAGTGAGGCTTATTGATATAAAGGTCACTAAACTTCGCTTGCGATACGATTAACGATTTGATTGACAATTATTTATCCGAGTTGCGTGCACTTGTAATCATATTTTGCATTCAATAGTAATTCAATCAGTAACTTTATTTATAAGTATTGAATCAGTGCATTCAATAGGATTCAATCAGTAACTTGAATCCTACCGAACTGGTTCGAATGGCATCGCTTCGCGCGCTTATCCTACCGTAAATCTCACAGCCACGCCGGCCATAAGCAGCAAATGGCAAAAAAATAGCTTTGCTATCTATGTACACACAATCTACTGTGCAGTGCACGAAACCTGGATGACTTGATGAAATTAGGCCTTAGAATAAAATTAGGATTTATCTTGATATATTTTTAGATAAACAAAAGTACGCTATCTGAACAAAAGCATCTTTGAGCTAATGACGAACTTAGAAGTAAGATAAAAGCTAAAAACTCGAAACTTAACAGATCTCATGGAAAATGTAGCTGTATCAGCACTGATGAGAATTCCTCGCCAGCATTGCACACCATAACCCATTATTAATAAAACGTCAGGAAGCCAAATACGTTCCCGTACTACCTGGACTTAGCATGATCTCATTTCATTGAATGTTGAAACATAAATCGTAATAGGAAAACATCAATCTTATAATTAAATATATTCTAATTGCATGTGCACTCTTAAACAACGACAACACATCTTGCGGTATTGGAAAATATATTAAATACACGATCAATATTACTAACCATGTCCAACCCTACGGTTTGATTGCCGTTTTCGCTGTGCTGTTAAGCAATAAGAAAATCATGAACAGAAGTGCAAGACTCGAGCAGCAAAGATTAACCTACTTTGTTACGTATCCTCGGCTTTTCGTGGGACTAACCCCGTAACATTATTACTATTCACAATTGTATGAACGTAAGTGTCTTCATTCACGTAAGAATACTTTTGGCAATTTTGCGGAAACGTTTATTTTCTAGGAAAAAAGTTTCAACGGCATTTGCACAATGGAAGATCTGAAAATCTACTTATAGTTAATAAATGATTCGCTAGCACCCGAAAATTCAGGAATGTGAAAGAGAAAGATTTGACAAGTTTCGAAGAAAGAAACCTAATTACCTTAGAAGTGTTCGTAAAATGACCGTTAAAACGGACTTAATTGAGACAGCACGAAAATTCGATAGCTTTAACCTCACAGAGTTTAATCTCACCTCACTAAGCTCTATTAAAATAAAAGGACACACGCCTACTATGATTTGAAGCCATTCATTAGGACAAAACTCCGGCCCTTCATGCTTCTAGAAATTAAAAATTTGTTCTGTTCGGAGTCGACATTTAAAAACGATGGAATTATTGATGACAGTTACATTTTGAGAATAAGCTAAAAATCTGCTAAATAATTAAACGTTAAATTTATATCAGACTACACTTTCAATTGAATAGAAAAATAAATTGATTCGAAACCATACTGAACATAATTTAATTGCTGATATTTTGAAAATTGTTTTGTAGCTTTGATCAAGCAATTCTGTATGTGAGTCACAACAGCATAGCGGCGAGAGTCAAAGCTCCTTCCATTCTCTACATTTCTAACATATTAACTATTCTTACGGAAATACGGAACGACAATATTAACCATTCTTAATTCCTATACAAGAAAAAAAATTCTCAACACCACCTATTCCGGTGAAAATGTCCTAAACGTGATTAAATTAGTCACGTTTCGGAATGATCACAGGCGTAAAAGACAACGGTCTATTATTGCATGAAACGAAGATTAAAATGTATACAGTGTACTTGACTAAAGTATAAATTATTCAACTCTTTCAAACCCATTCAATCACTATTATGTATTGCACACAGTTATCTGACGATTGAAGAACAGTACATTACATTTACGCTTTCCGCAGAAAGTTTAGCAAATGAACATCATGTCGTGCATTGCAAATGAACTTCAAACAGATTAACTATACATATGAGTCTAATCCTAACTACTAATAACCGTACAAAGTAGCGAATTGATAGAAGAAACACGACTTAGTGAGGCCGTTCGTTCCGCAGGTTTTTTATCAACATTTCAGGAATGACCAAGTAACAATTTATCCACAAACTTTTTTGACGAGATGAGAAAAAATAGGGGGAAAACTTGAGAAATTCTAATGGATGCACAACATGAAAAATCCATCATAATCACAAACACAACAGTGTGCTCTATAATCTAAGGTATACCGAAACACTTAGAACGCTTAGAAATGCTTTTCAGTGTGTTATTGGAGTAGAAAGCTAATGCCACTTCTCATTCTATAATGTGAAAAATGTAAATGGTTTACGTAGGAATCACATATTATGAATACTTCATAAGCTCGTTGAAAGTTCGGAAATTATTGAAAAAACTAAGAAGTGACGATGTTCCTAGTGCTGTAGTGAGCTGTCCATAGCAGCGAATGAGTGCAAGCTGCTCGTTGGCATGAGACCCTTCCTCTGACGACGTTTACGCTGCTCGTTCATCTGTAGCAACGATCAAAATATTAAACATTCTGACACTTATTAATGCGAGTGAGAGGTTTACATTAACAGCATCTATTAGTGATATTAAGAGGTGTGTACTATCATCATGTATGAGTGCAAAAACCACTTAATAATTAATAATATGCTTTTAAAAGTTACTTCCTTCAAAGACAGCACTTCTAAAGAGGCCAGTGAAACCGATGTTACACATGTATAATGAATATCTTATCTTATTTTAAATATTGAAAAGATGAGTTCATTTTTTAACATTGAAATTTTTTTACTTTTTAAAATTGTTTATTCTGTCAATTGATTCATGCATTGTCTCCGACTTCACGCAAGTATGTAAAATTTCAGATCTATTGGACAGGAAGAAGTGTAATAAATATCGATAATAAGATTATCGATAAGGTGACGTTAAAGAGAAGTGTTGCAAAAATGCGAATAATTGGTGTAAGGGAGAAGACATGGCTAAATTATGGCCAGGCGTTGAGTCGAGCGCACGACTTTGGCTGGAATGAAGGACCCAGCTTGATCGAGACCAAACTTGAGAATTAGTCCAAGCTATTAATTACTACGACTAGAAATAATGATGCATACTGACTTGAATATCAACATCGTCTTTCCATAATAACATCGCAGTTTACCAATAATTCCACTGACCAACCATATGATTTACCATCTTTACAACATCGTAATTCACAGAACGAATAAGGCAACACATTTTCGAGCGGTAGGAATCGATTTGATTCTACATTGGAAGATTATTCATTTGGTGTATTGTAGAACAAATATTTTGTTATCGCAATGATTAGATGACAAACGGGACAATCGTATCAAGGTCATAGTTGAGATGTATGGCAGCAATGCACTGCTCTTGTTTGTACTCAAGTAAGAATTAAGCTGAAAATGAAATCTAAATAATCGCTAGAAGCCTTATGCATCTCGCTATACAGCATTATTGGACACGTATCTCCACAGCGATAATCCTCTGGCACCTGAAACATTTCACGTATAATTGAACTCAAGCATGAAAATGACGGGAAAAAATATTTTACCTCCTCTTTTAGCTGTGCCAGTTGTCCGACGAGGTTTTCAATAAGCATCTGAGTTTTGTCGAGCTTAGCGTTCAGAATCCTTGCCTCGTTCGTTTCGGTGTCCGCTTCACTAATGTCAAGCGACATGGCACGCATGCGCGGGAACCAGTCAAGCTGACGCTCCTGTTCACAATAAATAACATATAATTTAATTGATAAAAAGTAATATACATGATGATAAATCATTGAAAATAAGCGTAAACGCGATAAAAAGCGTTACACGATGCCGTCAAACGGAGCTTGAAATGACAGCTTGTGTGACATCTGTTCCTACGGTGCGCGTGTTTCGTCGTCTAAAGAGGTGAGTATTTCGAAGATCCTTTGAATGTTGTACATAGCCGGTTTTATACTTTATCGTGTCTCAAGGTGCTCCCGAACTTCTGTAGCACCAACTGTCACGATTATCACATGTGCAAAAAAAATTATGTCATTCGGTACTTGATTTAATACTTTGATGATTTAATACAAGTTATATGAACTAGCATAGGGCTGATGCAATGGCCATTCATTGCCCCCAAACTCGAAGAAAAACAAAATTTGAGAATTACAATGTATACGTTGGAAGTTAGGAGGGATTACCAACAATCGGACGTTACGTGCTAATACTATCATCTCGCTCATAGTATAAAATGCCGCAAGAATAAAGAATTCTAAGAGATGACTACTATTTAAGCCAGTGGTTCCCAAACTTTTTCAGGCTGGCGCCCCCTTTGGCTCCCTAGTGAATTTCTAGCGCCCCCCACAGACATACGCCTCTTTCTTGAAATTTAGTACGCTGCAATTTTAAAAGATAAAGGTTAAACACAAATGTTTATTTCACAAATAGAAGCCCATCTAGTGAACCAATGTGTTTTTCAGCTCCTTCAACTGTTTCAGCGCCAGAAACCTAGGGTGTCTCGGGCGAATTTACGGCCTGACTCGTGGCCGGTCTCTTGACCAATCTCCAAATTCAATTATCAAGTANTGCATCTGTTGGGCCTGTGTTGCTGCAAAGAGTGCACCGTAGTCTTCAGATGATGGGATGTTATATGGAAATGGGTTTGCTTGGTCTTCGGTCATTACAGTGAGCCATGTTGGAGATAACGGTAGTTGTTTGAGGCGAGTAATCATCTGTAGCGTAAGCTGCGCTCGGCGGAGATACAATGGTGGTTCTCCACTTTCTGCATAGAGGCTGATGGTGGGGGATGTTCTGTATGCTCCAGTACATATCCTGATGGCAGCGTTGTGGACGGGGTCTAGTAGCGCTAGTGTGGTTTTTCTGGCATATTGGTATATGATACACCCATAGTCCAACCTGGCTCTCAGTATGGCCCTGTAAAGGCGGAAAAGGGTTACACGGTCAGATCCCCACGCCTGTCCGGTTAGGTGCTTCAGCAAGTTCATCCTCTTAAGGACGCTGCCTTTTAAAGGACGCTGCCTCAAATCTGTTCAGCAGTTCGGAAAAAATTTCTTGATTATTGCGAATTTAAATAAACATGTATTGCTGTTTAAATCACGAATGAAGGTGAAATAAAAAAAACTCGCGAACGAGGGCGCAATCGGAAAAATTTTCACGAGCTAAACATTACCATTCGGTAGTTAGGACTGTAAATTCAAAATTTCGTTCGAATCTGTTCAGTAGTTCGGAAGAAATCCCTTGATCACTGTGAATTTCGGCCCGTATTGCTATATAACTATGGCAAAAACAATTGAAGGCAAAATAAAAAAAAAATGTCACGAGCTTTACATTACCGTTAGGTCTTAATGAATACGTGTACCAATTTTCATCGCGTTAAGTTCATTAGTTTGAGAGATATTTCTCGATCATTGAATTTGGAAATTGGCCGTGAGACCGGCAGCGAGTACGGCCGTTAATTTGTCCGAGACGTAAACCCAGGAGAGGCTAAAAAAATAGATCTGGGTGACAAAACCATCGCTGAGAGTCATGTGCTGCACGTGTTGTGTACATATCGTCAAACAAACTTTCGAACTTCTGACTTCGGATTGTCGCGTCCTTATCGCCCCCAACCACCCTCTTCTTCCTTACCGCCCCCCGAAATCTTTCCATCGCCCCTAGGGGGGCGATATCGCCCACTTTGGGAACCACTGATTTAAGCCATACCTGTACTAGGGCATACACGTAGCTCTCAGGACCAGTAAAGTCCGTCTTGTCTTTCTCCTTGACGAGGACGTAGAAGTAAAGGTAATGCCACATATTGTGCTCCACTTCGATGTGCGTTTCGTAGCTCACTTCGCGGTTATCGAAATTCGATCGACTTAAGCCTGCCATCAATAAGATTACATTAATTAGGCGTTTCTGACATACTTCAGCCTGTTTTTAGTAAGAAATTAAAGCCAGAGAAGTGATTTGTAATGAAAGAGGTAAGATAAAACTTATCCAACGAAAAATGAAATAATTAAAACCGTAAATTAGCTGTCTTCAATCATGTCCATTACTTTCAGTGATAAAGGGTAATTTTACGGACAGCGAAAAATTGTTTTATTTGGAGCGTTTCTGAGCGAGTTCCGACCAACAGCCGATCTGAATTACCGTACTCAAGTTTAAGTGATTGCAGTAACAATTGAATGCATATGAAAAGCGATCATAAATAAATTAATAGATTACTACTCACCACAAATGAAGCAATTATTTTGTAAGATGTGCTCCTTCTGTTGCTTTTCGCTCCTGAGGTCGGCGAAGGTATCAATGATGACACCAAAGATCAAGTTCAGGATAATAATGATGATGATGAAGAAGAAGAGCATGTCGTAAATGACGCGCCCCGTGAACAAACTGTTATCCTTTGAGTGCACCCTCAGCAGGTCACCGATGCCACCACCATTACGGAGGCCGTGATTCAGAGTCGTTATTATGCACATCCGCAGCGACGTACACAAGTTTTCTGTCTGCTCCTCCGTGACGTACGTGCGCTCGGTCACCGCCACAGTTTGTGATGCCTCGCAATCCTTGCCCAGACCCGCCTCGCAGCTGTCAGCTTCTGGCACAACTGCTCAGTTGTAGAGTAAATTGATATATGAATCCATCATTAGGGTATACTAAAATTAAAGGAGCAATATTCTTTAAAACTGATTAAAACGGCTTAATAGCTGCTATCTAGAATGAAAATACAGACTTCGAGTGATTACATTTGCCCTAATGCAAGAACGTTCAGCCGACTAAATTTACATCATACAATTTAATATTTGAATCAAATAACAACTATTGGAAGTACCGTATCTAGTAAACTTTGGGTCAACCATGCAGTGAAGTAAATACTTCAGGATTGAATCCCGTAGAAGAAAGAAAAACACATACACGAACATGGAAACAATGCATGGTCTCAATTGACGAATTCCAAGGGTGATTGAGCTGGAAAATAATTCATTAGCAGGAACTTTAAAAGAATGCGTGAATGAAACTAAAACAAAAATACTCTCAATTGCAGTCATAAGTTAATGTTGCGAATATTCTTCATAATTTCGGAGCTATTGCCAACAGAATATTTACATGGCACGATCTTGATGATAGTGAAGACTAATGACACATGTGCTGGCAATTGACATCAGAATTGAATTCCGTCAACACGTGGTGAGTAAATGCGTTGGTTGACATACCTGGCACAATCTTGGTGACGTCCATGGTGAAGTCGTCCCTGAAGAAGACGAAGGCAATGATGGAGAAGAGGTAGATCAGGATGAGCGCCAGAGCCGCCGTTAATACGATGGACCAGCCGTTACGGGTCACTGACTGGATCACGTTGAAGAGCGTCTCTTCTCGATACACCACGTCCAACATCTAGTGAATATGATAAAAAAAGTGATCACCAGATACAAGAAGAAATCCTTGCACATTTTTCACCAAGAAAAACAAACCAGGACTAAAATCGCGACCGGTTCAAGAAGGTGATCTCGCTCTCGTTTGTGCGCGTAACATTTCACATAGGAAGTCATGAGCAGAGCATATATAACAGACAGAGGTGGGCAGTAGGGCGCTACATGTAGCGGCCGCTACATTTTCAGTAGCGGTAGCGGTTGCGCCCGCTACATATTTAAGTAGCGATACGAGATTTTGCCGCTACAGCGCTACCGCTACATTTATACATAAAGCCTTTAGATTTTACTTAATAGTATTAAATATTATTTAAAAACCAGCATGATACATACATAATATAAATTACAGAATAAAACTGTACGAAAGATTTCGGTGTAATGTTGTCAACCTCAGCCTGTTACTAGTGTCAACATGTTAGTTGTTACTTGCTAAGTTGTTACCAGTTACCACATACAGGAATTTTTTCATCTTTCAGTTTGCTTACATTTATTTTTACACAGTTATTTTCATGTTTCACCTTCCCTACATGGATGTCTACATTAATCTACCAATCTCAAAAATAATCCACATACATATACAAATAAAAGGCTGATTTTTGTATGTACATATATGTGGATAATTATTTAGATTGGTAGATTAAAGTACATATCCGTGTAGGGAAGGTAAAACATAAAAATAACTAACTTTTATTTACTGTATCTAACCCGTACTAGTTCGGTTAGGTTAATTGCAATAAAGTTGCATTGATACGTTTTGAAAATATATTATAATCATTAAATGTTTATGAGTAAATCCCAATAGCAGAACAATAAATATTTAGAAATTTCCAATAACTTTGGCCAATGTAGCGGCGCTACATTTTACTGTAGCGGTAGCGGTAGCGCTCGCTACAATCTAGTGGGTGTAGCGGTAGCGGTAGCGCCCGCTACATTTAGAGCATGTAGCGGTAGCGGTAGCGGTAGCGCCGCTACATTTCAAAGTAGCTCTATCCAGCTCTGATAACAGTAACAGACATCTTAACCTCTACATGGTCTTAACCTCTACATGGTCGAGTTGTACTAACCAGAATTGAGTAGGCGTAGGGCTTGAACAGTCCAAGTATGCAGAAGACCAAGTAAAAGACGTGATAAATAAGCTCCGTGTCGGTGAGAATTTGTTGAAAGTTTTTAGTGAAGGTGCCTTTGTTGCCCATGATGCTCACCAGATGGATGGCCTTCAAAACAACCTGAAATTCAGCGCCAGTAAAGCAAAGCGTTAAAAAGAATCAAGTATCGTAAATATTGAAATGAATTCTTCATACGAGACAGAAGACAGATGCACGAATAAAGCATACATTTCTAATGTATTAAATTACTTTATTTTAAATTAGGGAGTGTAATTCAAATTAACCAAATATATAAATACAAATAAAGACAATGGAGCAACGCATCCTAGAAGTATTTTCATGACTTCAAAAGTGAATTTTGCGAACTGAAAGACAAAGTTGAGAGTTAGAACAATGAGTAAGGTTAATTAAAATTTCCATCGGATAAAAAGTGAAATGAGGGGACTGAGAATCATGCCATTGGATTACAACAGTTCAGGGAAGTTGCAGTACGGACATTTATTGTGCCCAGAAGAAGCAAGGTGGGTTCAGCGCCCTGTGACAAGATCAATCTGATGATCATGAAGCCGGTGAGTATGTAGCCCCACAGCGGCCGTGGGTACGCGATGACCGTAGCGAGCGCCACCAGCACACCCGCCCACACCAGGAGTGATACCTGCCGTGACACCACGTCTCCTGCACAACACATTTGTTTTTATTCCTGTACAACATTTACACAATTGCATCTGATCACTGAAAACAATTTCATGAACACTGGAAACAATTGCATGAACACTGAAAACAATTGCATGAACACTGAAAACAATTGCATGAACACTGAAAACGAAAAGCGTATGTAGCAATAGTTCCTTAAGAAGAGGACTTTGATAAGGTCTTCACTTCAAATAATTCATAATCAATCCATATACTGGTGAGTTCAAAAAATGTACAATAACCATCATGCGAGAAGATCATCTGGGTTATGTCTTCTTCTTCGACGATTGATCATCTCCGCGGCTACAGGCATGCGATGACAAAAATTTACACTAACAAACAACAACAACAAGACCTTGTTTAGTCATTATTTCCCAAAGATTCATTATTTTCGCGGCTGCAGATTTTACGTAAAAAGTGTATTCTTGGAATTCTATAAAAAGAAGTCATTTATTAGGTAATATTTTTCAGGGATCGATTATCAGCCGCGACTTAAGTGAGATATTGTAAAAACTTATTGTAAAAACTTATTCATTGTTTACGAAGATCAACAAAACATACCTGCCAACTTTGGGAGAATATAATAGCCGCACATAAAATCCAATTAGAATAATTGTAATTGTTCTTAATGACAATTTTCGATACAAAAATTGGATACAACGTAACCATGTCAAATGCTCGAGAGTCTGTACAAATTGTATAGCTCACCCGTAAGGTCGTCATCGAAAGTTACGCTGCAGAAACTAGACAAAGAGCAACAATAAGGGAGCTCACCGGGGTTAGGGTCGTCATCGAAAGGAAATGAGCCAGCAATGATGATGTTACACGTGGTGGCGAGCAGGAACAGAAGACGGCTCCATAAGGACATGTTCTCGCTGATGGCAGATAGCACAGGCTGGCGCTTTAGCTTACGTTGCCACTTCATTTCGTTGTGCATGTCGTCGAAACGCTCGAAGAAATCCGTCACCTGCACAAATAATGGGTCATGAATAAATGGATCATATTGTCAACGTTCGGAGAAATCGGTCACCTGAACACAACACTTAGGAAATTAATGTCATATTGTCAAAAATAATTATTCATTTCGTTGTGCATGTCGTCGAAACGTTCGAAGAACTCCGTCACTCACAAACAACACTCAGAAAACTAATGGGGCATGTTGTCGAAATTGTGACACACTTCCTTAATCGCCACAGCACATGCAGTGAGCGGACAAACTACTGATACTTACCGGACAGGTTCAGGGTGACCTACAGAGTACTATCGCTATTTAGACTATGGGTGAAACGTGGCATTCTAGCTACGACAAATGCCTTCATTCCTCAAGGGAATATTAACTTCGCTAAAACAAGAAAAAATTTCAAAGCAATTAATCAACCAGGGAAACCCGTAAGCTCGGACATGGAACGAAAGAATAAATAGACTTAATTAACCAGAAAACTCGAATTTGCTAATCTCCCAAAGTTGGCCTGTTTTACCAGCATAACAATATTACTTTCGGTTCTTTTTTTTTCTTTGATTATTTTTTTCATGATGTATTACTTTTTGTATGTCAATGAACATGGAAAGCTAGTTTATTTTCTAGTGGTAAAAATAAAAATGTTAAACAATCATTTCAGAATAAAGTCACATTCATCCTATGTTTCGTCAAGAAATATGGTGAGGTAAGAGATACAATGGAAAACAATCGTTTCTGAACTTTTAAAACGTGCCAGTAGAGGCAAAATTACATACATGCATTGTTCATGTATCGTCAATAAATATAGACCGAGATAAATTGAATAAATAATTTCAGAATATAGTGACCTTCGACTCGTCTTAAAAATGCATACACGTACGTCCTATATTTCGTCAAGGAATATTGCATGATGATAAACAATAATTAGTTACCTTTGAATTATGCTTGTACTGCGCGTCAATACATAAAGTCCGAGATAAATTGAATACATAATTTCAAAATAAACTGACCTTTGAATCGTGCTACAAATGCCTACACATATGTCCTATGTTCCGTCAAGGAATATTGCATGATGGTAAACAATAATTGGTTACCTTTGAATTATGCTTGTCGAGCTCAGCGGTGTTACGCACGCGCTGCTTCGTCTCCTCCGTGAGGTGCTTGCACACGTCGCGTATGGGGAACACGATCTGCTCCAGGGTGCGGTTGCTGCGAGAAATCTGCAGGTTCAGAAAATTCGTAATTAATTTTGGACTAATAATTTTTAATTGTTCAACTTGTTTAATTAGATTATCAATAGCAGTAGATCCAAATACATCTATCTGCAGGGATAAATTGGACTAGTAAAAAGATGCAAGCCTGACATATGACGATAGATCAATTCAATTGAACAAGAAGAAGAGAAGTACAGAACGAGGAGCACAAGCAACTCAATAATAGCGTTAAATACTTCGATTTGATGATGCAAAGAAATTAGTGCGGTGTAAATACCTCGAATTGAGAGAGGAAAATACCACGAATTTCTGCGTATAAATACATTGATTTGTACGTATAAATACCTCAATTTGTGCNCAAGCAACACTTAGTATATAATATAGTCACTGAGATAGCGGCATATTATCAATATGTAGATATTGTGCCCAACCTGCAACACAAGCAACACTTAGTATATAATATAGTCACTGAGATAGCGGCATATTATCAATATGTAGATATTGTGCCCAACCTGCAACACAAGCAACACTTAGTATATAATATAGTCACTGAGATAGCGGCATATTATCAATATGTAGATATTGTGCCCAACCTGCAACACAAGCAACACTTAGTATATAATATAGTCACTGAGATAGCGGCATATTATCAATATGTAGATATTGTGCCCAACCTGAAACACAAGCAACACAGTATTTTCAGATAGTCGCAATCGCACAGTCATCATTTTATCTTGGTTCTATAAACAATCTATATTAATCAATCAATGATTTTTTTTAGCGACCGATATTATCTAATAACGGTCGGGGAACGCCCACGAGCTAACAAAGAGTGAATTGAACATTTTCCCGGCGCGATTAAATTTGGTGTTAAAGACAAGGACGATTTGATTCGAGTCGAGAATTGATTTGGTTTTGCTTCGTTTTAAACATAGAATTAATTCGTTTTTTCTCCATATGGACAGCCAAAATATTATTTAAAAAGAAATAAATTAATTTTTAATTAAATTCCTCAGTTGTATTGAAGAGGCATTCGTCCATCACGAGGATGAAAAGCTCGGCATCCAACCTCATGAAGGGCGTGACTCACCTCTGCGCGGCTGACTAACCTCTGCACGGCAGACCCACTTCTGCACGGCTGACCCACTTCTGCACGACTGACCCACTTCTGCACGGCTGACTCACTTCTGCACGGCTGACTCACTTCTGCACGGCTGACTCACCTCTGCGCGGCTGACTAACCTCTGCATGTGAGCGGCTGACCCACCTCTGCGAGGCTGACCCACCTCCGCGCTGTTGACTCACCTCCGCACGGCTGACCCACTTCTGCACGGCTGACCCACTTCTGCACGGCTGACCCACTTCTGCACGACTGACCCACCTCTGCACGGCTGACCCACTTCTGCACGGCTGACTTCTGCACGGCTGACTCACCTCTGCACGGCTGACCCACTTCTGCACGGCTGACCCACTTCTGCACGGCTGACCCACTTCTGCACGGCTGACTCACCTCTGCACGGCTGACCCACTTCAGCACGGCTGACCCACTTCTGCACGGCTGACCCACCTCTGCGCGGCTGACTCACTGCGCGGCTGACCCATCTTTGTGCGATTGACCCACCTCTTTCGGAGAAACGACATCATCTTCGTCTGTAGCTCCCTCCTCCATCTCATCGTCATCCAAGCTCTCCTGATGGTAAGCCTTGCCCACCACGTCAAGCTGCTCGTCGTGACCCACGTCCATCAGCGAAGATCAGCAGCCAGGCACGTCATTGCAGTGACGAGGTGTGACGTGAAGTCAGTGCAGGTAAAGCAGTGCACGCAGTGAAGGAGGGAGCGGCAGTGCAAGCAGTGAGTGTACAGAGCAGAGGAAGCACACAACAAACGTCAACAAAAACCAAGATGATATATTGGCAGGTGAGTTAACCTACACTCTTTACATTCATTGGCGTGAGGCCAATGAGTAACCTAGCACTCTGAGCATAAAGTGTGAGTAAAGCTAACACTCTAAACGTGAGGTGAGTAGAGCCAGCACTCTTGGCATGAGTGGCAGTAGAGCTAACACTCTTAGCATGAGTGGCATCATATCTACAGGGTGAGGCCGAACCGATTGAGCAGTTTTGAGGCGATATAAAAGAGTAATGGAGGTACATAAAGAAGAAAGCTTGTTTTCCTCAAGGTTAGCATCACATACCATTTAGCATACTTGTGTTTTGAAAACAATATCAGGAAGATGGCGTCCTGTAGATGCATCACACTGTTGGGAGTCGTTCTCTGAAGTTTTCTACAGCACGTTCACACATATGGCGAGGTATGGCCATAACCTCTGCTGCAATAATCCGTCCCCTTAGCTGTGGTAGGGTGTGAGGGCGACTTCTGAACACCTTTCTTTTAGATGTCCCCAAAGAAAGAAATCGCAAATGCTCAAATCAGGTGACCTTGCAGGCCACTGTAAATCACCCCTCAGAGACACCAGACGTCCGGGAAACTTACGTTTCAAAACATTGAGTGACATTCGGGCTGTGTGAGCTGTAGCCCCATCCTACTGGAACCAGAAGTCGCCCTCACACCCTACCACAGCTAAGGGAACGGATTATTGCAGAGGTTATGGCCATACCCCGCCATATGTGTGAACGTGCTGTAGGAAACTTCCGAGAACGACTCCAACAGTGTGATGCAGCTAACGCGGCCACCATCTTCCTGATATTATTTTCAAAGCACAAGTATTCTAAATGGTATGTTATGCTAACCTCGAGAAAAATAAACTTTCTTTATTGTGTACCTCCATTACTCTTTTATTTCCCTCAAAACTGCTCAATCGGTTCTGCCTCAACCTGTAGTTCAGCATAATTACAAAGCTCGATAACCTTCTGAATTATGTCAATGTCGAAACTCTTCCAACAACAGGGAATTTAAATTTTAAAAAGTACCTAGCGGTATTTCTGAAAGGTAAAAGTTAAGAAATGAGCATATTATTCATTTCTCTACTACCCGACCCAATACAGGACGATTGTATACAAGATTGTTAACATTGTCAACTTGTTGGCAGAGAATTGAGTCACAAGACTAGGTAAGCAATGACTGAAGGATGTGTTTTTGATTAGATAACACCAGGAAGTTTGGGATGGAGAGATTGACTTTGACTGGCATTCTAAATAACATCCAGTGGGGGGAAATAAATATTCGTACACTTGACAAATCGTATTTTAATGTATGTAAGTACACAAACTTAACAGGAGAAGTGATTTAAATTATGTATAGAGACGCATAGTATTCAAAAATACTATCAAAAGAAATTAAATCTCAATGCAACAAAAAACAATGCAACATGTTCACTTTTCGGGGTGAATGGGTCTTGAAGCGTCCAATGAACGAAGCAACTGTACTAAAAGGAACATTCAAGTGGCTAGCAATCTTCCTATAACTTTTTCCTTCCTTCCAACGCGATAGAATTAGTTGTTTGTGTGGCGGTATTAGAAGATTCAAATTAAGAAAAGGTCCCCAACAAACATTGAGAATCTTAAGGTGGTGTGCCAAGAAGAATGGTATAAAATACCAGTCAGCATCTGCAAATCATTGGTCGAGACTTATAGAAATAGACTGGTGTCTGTTGAGCTGAATAAAGGGTATTCAACCAAGTATTAAATTAAAATAATGCGGATTTATTGTTTTGTACGAATCCTTTTTTCACCCGAAGAAGTTAACATGTTGCATTGTTTTTTGTTGCACTGAGATTTAATTTCTTTTGATAGTATTTTTGAATACTATGCGTCTCTATACATAATTTAAATCACTTTTCCTGTTAAGTTTGTACATTACATACATTAAAATACGATTTTTCAAGTGTACGAATATTTATTTCCCCCCACTGTATTTACAAAGCATCTTTGATAATAAGCATGCCCCATCACAGTTAAATTTAAAGCATAATCAATCAACTAATTGAAAGATTTTATACGTTTAAGATACATCACCGAGAACTGGAAATTACGAGGTGAAATTTGTCTTTTAGATTATTATTAATTTGAATAATGGCGGAATTCGGATACGTGAGAAACGTATCTCTTCGAGTGAAGAACCAAGTTTAAATACTGGTAATTTCAAACGTGTGAGTGTAAGAGCATAAAAATTTCTGTCGGTATATACGAACATAAAATGAGCGGTAAAACAAGACATGAATGACAAAACATTCGTGCACTTAGGTTGATGGAGCACGAGACTCGAGTCAGTACAGAGATATATTGACTTAACGGTCAATATTTCTTTTCTAAGGTAAGGTATAATTGCAGTACTGTTGCTATAAATCATTTTAATACAGATAATTTTACCCCAGAATCAGGGTCGGGTTCACCACAGGATGGCAAAGACTGGATGTAGAGGTCATACACTCTAGACATAACACCAGTCTACGTAGTTGCAAGTTTAACCCAAAGTTACAATAAAAATAATAAAAGCAGCAGGGGAAGTCAAAGCAAAACCAGCAGCACGAAAAAAAGATTCAAATTAAAGTAGGGCGTGATATTTTGATTTTTAGTTCAAGTAAGTAAGTAGTTTAAGTAGGTGCTTATGTTTCGAGCATGCATGAAAAATTAGAAGATTCAAAATTAAATACAGTACAGCAAAAAGAGCACAAAAACAGAAGAAGAACTTACCGTGAAGATATCTTAGTTGGAATGAAAGGTAAAAAAAAATAAAGAAACAACACACGGCAGTTGATGTCACACGATTAGCACAACACGGTAATGTAAGAACAGAGCAACGAAAGGTTAGAAGAAAAAATCGATGCAGAAGCGGGAAGAAGAGACAGGACCGGGAAGAAACAGGGCAGAATTAAAGGCAAATCATTATTCTGAAATAACCTTAACTTTAGAGACGTGAGCACTTCAGCATAACCAAGGACAGGCCGCATGCTGTGATGCAGCTGCAGGTCAATCCGCATTATCATGCAACCATATGATTTATAAAGATGATATAATAAAATAAGGTCAATCAGCATTATCATGCAACAATATAACTTATGAACATAACAGTAAACAAGGGTTTTCTAACGAGCACAACGAAAAAATGACCACAGGCGTTCAATGGCAGCCACAGTGAAAATCATGAGCCAAATTAGCAGGTTTTCGCAAAAATTACAGAAAACTTAATACATGCAGAAAGAGGAACAAATGGGGAATAAATATGGGGAAAATTTCAAAGCCGGATAAATGAGCATGGATTGAAAACATAAAGCCCCTCAAGAACAGAAATACACTGAAAGCCTTTGCAGTAAATTAGGAAGTCACCCGAGCGAGGAACTATCCAAAAAACTAACTTAAATACTTGTCTGTCAACGTTGAAAAAAAATCGTTGAGTACAATTTAAAGATTTCATTCATTGGGATTCCAGCAAATATTATCATAAAGCTGGAGTAAGAGATATTAATTATCATAGCATTAAGTCAATTTCCGTTCCAAGTTCAGAGGAATTTTTTATAAAGGTAGGATCCTCAAACTTGCATGAAAGAAATCCTGCCAACTTCTCGCCTCCTAAAAATATCCCACTGGGATAATTACGTTGAAACAACGTTTAGTTAGCGTTTATTGAACAAAACACGTTAAATTCAACACTGAATCAATGTCAGATGTCTAGTGGGACCTCCAGTCATCTGACGCAGGAATAACGTTGATTACAATTACATACACGTTGTTTCAACGAAATCAACTCGTAATCAACGTTATTTCAACAACATTTGCCGAGAGGTTTCTACTGGACATCTGACGTCGAATCAACGTTAAATAAAACGTGTTAATTAGAACTAACGTTGATTGAGCATTATTTCAACGTCATTTGCATGGATCGTAACACTTCACCCTGTCTAAGAAATAAATAATACATGTAGCAGAAGCCGTACCAGTTGAGTGATGTTCATGCTGTGTAGGATCTTCTCAGCGTTCTCACTGTCATGCCGAGACTCCATGATGGCAAGTAGCAGCTTCGAGGCGCTGTTCTTGAGCTCCAGCACGAGGTCCATCTTGTCCTGAGCCAGCGGGTTGATGTCGTTCAGGATGAGCGCCGTGATTATATGCAGGCCGTTGCTCTCGTGGGTCGCTGTGTAATATAACAGTAGCTCGTGAAATGGCTTTTGATAAACCTTAAAGACTAATGGCTTTTGATAAACTTTAAGACTAATGGCTTTTGATAAACTTTAAGACTAATGGCTTTTGATAAACTTTAAGACTAATGGCTTTTGATAAACTTTAAGACTAATGGCTTTTGATAAACTTTAAGACTAATGGCTTTTGATAAACTTTAAGACTAATGGCTTTTGATAAACTTTAAGACTAATGGCTTTTGATAAACATTAAGGCTAATGTATAGTATTGTACGGCTATTCAGGGTCATTGACACGAGTCCGAATGGTAACTAGTTATTTACTCATGTTAGTCTTACTGTTAAACATGAAACAGATTGCACGTCGCATCAGAATTAAATGAGCACTAGGCTATTTTATTAGTGCGCACGTATATTTTGTATCAACCTAATTATTAAAAAAAATCTTCATTCATCTAAGTTAAAAGGAATTAATTTGTTTATTAAGCAAACAATTAGGCGCGAGCAGAGTGAGAGAATCTGTGAGACAAATCAGTTATTTTAAGGGGACCCACTACCCTCCGGAAAAACTTCTACAGTTATTATCCGATCATCATGAAACTTCACATACATGCGTAAAATGTAAAAATAAGAACATTTTGCTCATATGAATTTTTCGAAAAAATTGATAGAGAACGTGAAATTCATAGAAAACGGCTTAAAAGGGGTACTTTAGAAAATCTATCTCCTCCTACAAATATCATCCTACAACATCGAGACACGTATCATTCTATTCGTAAAGACCATACCTATAGACTCTGTGATCACTTTTTTCATTTTCCCCTTAGTTTTTTTTTATGCGCGTTTTATCCCATTTTTCCCCTTTTTCCCCCCTCCCCCCCCTTCTCCCCCATATAAAAAACGAACCAGACTGAAATTAAAAAAAGTGATCACAGAGTCTATAGGTATGGTCTTTACGAATCGAATGGTATATGTCTCATTGCTGTAGCTTGAAAAATGTAGGAGGAGATAGGTTTTCCGTGACAGTAAGTTGAACTTTTCAAACTTTTCAGGACGGCGCGACAAAGTCCCGTGCGCCTCGAAATAGGCACTCAATGTAGCATGGATACCAAACTACAGGTTTCTGTAGCTTAATCCACTCAAGGATGCTATCAGCAACTTGTAGCGCACCTCTACGTACAATGTTAGGAGGGTAACTAAGCTCAGATGCCAGATACACCAAGATATGTAGTCTTGCCGCTGTAATTTTCTAAGGTCTATTTAGTGAAGGAACTCCACCCCCCGCCCCCCATCAAAGCCCGGCCATCTGCGTCAATATTGCCGTACATGGATCGCAGTGGTGTCGTTGGAAAGCTCAGAATGTCAGCTTTAAGATGAGACTAAGCATGTAACTGCAGCACAACTCAAATAAAAACTATATTCAAAGATTTCAGCAGCTAATTACTTTATATATAATTACTTGAAGAACTCTCTCACCCGCTTCCCTTTAAAGAGACGTCATGACCGTAAATATTGGCGTACAGCGATGGCAGTGGTACCATTGGAAAGAGCAGAATTCCAGCTTTCAGATGAGCACAAAAACCGAAAAACGCCAAAATTGAAAATTTTAGGGTAGTGGGTCCCCTTAACAGAGTTCACTGATCTCCGAAGGTTCATAAGTAAACGAGTTCTCACCGATGCAGTTCTGGTTCTCATGACATGGTCCCTGGCAGTACTCAGTGAGGGTCTCGAGGGTCTGGTTGATGAGGGAGACGTTGTGCTCGTTGATATACAGACCAAGGAGGCCTAGACCACCCGTAGTGCTGCCGCAGATGCAGTCCAGGAAGAGCAGCGTTTCGCTCACCAGGTTGTAGACCGTCTTGCCTGCCTGCTGCCGCAGCAAGTTCTGTCCAACGTTGAGATAGCATTACTATTTTCCAATAAATATAAGTGGTACATAATAATAAAATTTTCCATAAAAATATAAGTGGTACAGGATAATGACAATTTTCCGAAAAATACACGTGGAACAGAATAATAATAAGAGATAAATTTGATTTACATGAAAATCAGTCTTGCACGCTAGCTGTCTCAAAAAGTTCCGCTGCTCGATGAAATATGATTCACCGTTAAATGCAAGTGGAACATAATGGTGCTTAAGGCAAACGCTGAAGGAGGTTAGTTCGTCATACATGAAAACCCTGAACAGTCTTGCGGACCAAGTTTTGCGGCACGTTGCGCACTCAATAAGTTTCAAAATTAAAGTAATGCATAAGAAGACCTTAAAAATGCCGATTAAACTGTTAAGAAATAAAAAGTTTGCATACTCCACTTCTACTGCCACTAAGATCCTGTTATTTGCAACGAGTAATACCTGCATGTCAGTGTTGTGGTTCTCACAGAACAGCTGCAGACATCGCAGGATGGGGTCCATGACGGCAATTTTCGGGGAAAGTTTTGGCTCTTCCTCCTCGACTAAAACTCCCACTCCGGTCTTCCCTCCACCAGCATCCTCGTCATCCATCAACATCTCGTCGCCTGCCACAAATAATATGAATGAAAAGTATAACTAAGTACTCACTGCAGTGAGTGACAGAGCGCGTATTTTCTCGTCGACGAAAACGTGAAGTCACGGACGGACAGACAGACGGACGGACATGTCGAGCACAATAGCGCCTTTTTCCCATAAATGAGAAAATGTGTTAAAAAACATACAAAATGCACTGAGAAGAACGATTGCACTATAGATTACAGTATGAATAGAATAGAATAAAAATGTCGGCACTGAAGGAATAGGCCCATGGCCTGTTGCCGATTCATGAACTTTTCGTGACTTGATTCACAAGGGATCGGGCCTTTGGAACCCGATCTTTCCATAACTGACGATTGATTGAGATAGCTGCTGGACTTATTGCCTGGTCCGTAATTTGCTAGGCATTTTAAGACTGAACATATGCTCCTGCATAGCTTCGTCTGGACTTTTTGCCTGGTCCGTAATTTGCTAGGCATTTTAAGACTGAACATATGCTCCTGCATAGCTTCGTCTAGTCTGTTCTTGAAGGCGTTCATACTCGAAGCGTCAACTATACTATCAGGGAGGCTGTTCCACATGTCGGTGACTCGAAGCGAGAAGAAATGTAATATTGCTGCTGAATTACATGATCTTGTCAAGTATTGGAGGAAAACCATAGAGGTTGCGGTGTAATATTACGGTGACCATGAAACTTAGAGTGACCACAGCCTGTGGTCTGTATAAGAAATGTGATGAATATCAGACGTTTCAGCAGGCGAGCCGTTACCAATGTCTATCAGACGTTACCAGCAATCTAGTAACTCAGTACTGCAGTTCTCAGAGATAAAGTCTGCTGTCAAAAAAGCAAAGGAAAGTAAGCTGCGTTACCATTCTTCTCTGTCCTGACGGCAGAGATCGCCTGTACGGTCGCTGTCACAGCGGAGTCCATGTCTTTCTTCATCTCCTCTGTGACCACCACGCCGTTCTTGTTGACTGTTCAGATGCGAACAAAAATATATATTTTTTTAATTTTGCAATCATTTTCATTAAGCGAAATATTCATTATAATATTACACCTATATTATTTTATGTATAATAAAATACTATAATTTTAACATATAATAATGTAAACAGTCGAAGTGAAGAATGAATTCTAACATTTCACTTGAGTCGAGCTAAGAGATCAAATAATTTATAGCTATAATGCGTATCGTTTTAATGGGTTACTCAAGTATTTGGACCAGGTAATAAAGAAAATTATAACTAAAACTAGTGTTAACAAATAAATTGACTAAATTAAAATAATTAGGGTGTCATTTAGTATAAAATAAGGTCATCATATTTTTAAGAAACAAATTGGATTCAAATTATATGACAGTTAAGTTATGATTAGAATTCTACGAATTCTTGTGTTTGTAAATAAGACGGATCCTTTAAACGAATAACGTGAAAATAACCGTGCTTGGCACGTGAATATTACCGTGCTTGGCACGTGAATTTTACTATGTTTTACACATATATTACCGTATTTAACACATATATATTACCGTGCTTGGCAGCTCGTGCTGGCAGCGCAGGCTTGTCAGCTGTGCTTGGCAGGCCGTCCTTATCATCGGACGGTCGCTGCGTCAAGTCTGAAGTGTTGACCGTAACGGTCATGCGGATCTCAAGTTGCGCGTCCTGCATTTTCTCGAAGAAAACCTTGAAGAATTTCTGGGCCTTGTCGATGTTGTTGGTGAGCTTGTGGTATAGGATTTCCTGTATCCTTGAGTTGCCACCTTCGAGTAAAGCGATGCCGAGTTCAACGGCCTCGATGAAAATGTTCTGTGAACTGTGACTGTTGACTACGAGTTCAACGACTAGGTCTGCAGCGCCCTCCTCGGCAAGGTTAGTCTGTACCTCCAGCATACTACGGCCGCTGCGCCGTAGGAACTTGTCTGCACATATCAACACAATGTTGCAGTCTGCAAGTCAGGAGTAAAATCAACACAATGTTGCAGTCTGCAAGTCAGGTGTAAAATCAACACAATGTTGCAGTCTGCAAGTCAGGTGTAAAATCAACACAATGTATGCGTAATATGTTGTATAAAACGCTGCATTGACGAAAATTTGTTTCATTTTCCTCGACATAAATTTATTGGTAAAAGCCAATTTATATATTACCTTTTTGCATTGATTTATGCAATAAAAACATATTTGTTATCTTTTTCATCAATATATAAAATAAAGCTTTGATTGCAACGTACCGCCAGGTCTGCTGTTGAGGGAATTTTTCAGCTTAGTATCGACGACGTCTTTCTTCTTGTGCGCGTCTTTGAGGTACGTCTTAAGCCACACCGTGCGCAGCTGCTCGCCCTGACACGTACAAACACTTCGTTATAATGAGAGAAATTACGACCAATTGACATTTCAAAATCAATGGATCGTTCATTCCGAATAATCTGCGACACATTCATCTCTCATGACCCCCAGTTCACTTAACTCAAGTTTCAATGATAGAATGCGATGAATAGAGTATCACATTAATACAATGAATATCATACGAATACGATGAATAGTATCACACATTGCAGGCATGAATACGATGAATAGAGTATCACACATTGCAGGCACGAGTTCGTTCAGGGCTTTGAAAAATTTTGTTTATTGAAATAGGCGCTCAAAATGGATGCAAGGAAATTGCGAATAATAAGTAATGATCCGTAATACGTAATGATTCGTAATACGTACTGAAACGTATTATGCAATGAGAGGTAATACGTAATGATACATAATACGCGATGATACGTGATACGTAATGACACGTACAGTAATAGGTAATGATACGTAATTGGTAATAATAGTATTACGCTTAACCGCTTACTTTCTCGCCATAGTCCGGGTCAGCCATCATGTCTTTGAGCAGCCGGAGCACTCTGATGCACAGATCTTCTTCTTTGTCTTCCAGTAGACGCTTGCAGTGAGCGATCATCCTGATGGCAGTTCATATCTTAACAATTGTTATCAACTTACAATCTACGTAGATAGAAATTGTATCGTAATAACTGTAAATAATTTAAATTGTATCGTAATAACGTAATAAAAACATTCTTAAAAATATATTTGTCGATAAAAATTGTAATTATAATATATTAAAATATTATTTTGCATGTGAATTGCAACAGACACAAGACTTGGGATATTATCAGTGATAAAAATATGATTCATGTCAATCAGCGAAACTCAACAGGAATTTTTTCTCTTAAACTTCCGTATAGCATCTAATTGTGAACAGAAAATGTGATTCGTCATTGTAAATTTGGAAATTTATATTGTGAAGTGAAATTTATTTTTCACTTATATTTATAAGTGAAGATAAGTTCCAGTGGCCCTACTGTCAAAACTCGCATGAACACGCGTATCGACCGATTTCTCGTCTGTAATTTGTGGACTTAGCTTAAAAAGCCCACAGTGATTTTCTGACAGAGTTACGGACAAGGAATAATTTTTTAAAATACCGTACGATACAAGGTCAGGACTTCAAAATATTTCATTTCAGTCACCTGAAAATAAATGAAACGCCTTCACAATATTTTGTTTGAGTCACCTAGAAATGAAATGTCCTCAAAACATTTCATTGCAGTCACCTGGAAATAAATTAAATGCCTTCACAATATTTTGTTTGAATCACCTAGAAATGAAATGTCCTCAAAACATTTCATTGCAGTCACCTGGAAACAAATTAAATTCCTTCACAATATTTTGTTTGAATCACCTAGAAATGAAATGTCCTCAAAACATTTAATCACAGTCACCTGGAAATAAACCCGCCGGACTGTTTCTGACATGTGTTAGCAGCCTCGCTGCCTTTCCTGAATATTTTGTGTGGCTGGTAGAGGATGTCGACCAGCACGGAGAGCTCGGCCGTGACCAGAGGACGAAGCTCGAGCTCAAGCTGCGACACTACGGAGTTCAAGTCTTGCTCGATGATCACGTGGTCATTGCGGCCGCTGGTCTGTGTAAACATGCGTAGAACTACAGTAAAAAATATAATTCAGTACTAGCTGCAGTGAGTGACAGAGAGCGCATTTTCTCGTCGACGAAAACATGAAGTCACGGACAGACAGACGGACGGACAGACAGACGGACGGACAGACGGACATGGCGAGCACAATAGTGCATTTTTTTCATAAATGAGAAAATGCGCTAAGCACGGTCTAAAATAACGTTGATTTAAGGTTTTTCAACGATATCAACTCGTTATCAACTTGGTTTCAATGTCAGTTGACTGTAGGGTGGCTATAGTCCTAACAAGTCGGGCATTATATTACACTGGCACTGAGATGAAAAGGTTGCCGGTTCTTGCCTATACACAAAGGTAGGCAGCTCGTCAGGTGTCAGGGCCGTGTAAAAAATACGGGCATTTAGCAGAGACGGCGCCGAGATCAGCTGTTTAAACGGCACCTCTCAGAGCGTTGTTCAATGATAGCTAATTAAGACCGGAGCTCGGGAAACTCCTCGAGTTTTAATACTTATTTAAGTACTAAAAATATTAACATATATCTGCTTAAAAGAAACTGGTACCAACTCATAACATACAAGAAAACTAAAGCCTATGATCGGACAAGAATCAGAACCAAGCAAGTAATTCGACATCGGAGGGCTCATGCAGCAAGGCTATTTTTTGAATTTTTAAACGATTTGACTGCTGAGCATTGCATTGGTGTATTCCCTTATAATAATAATAATAAATAGTGGTTTCACCGTTATTAGGCCGTAGGCCTGTCGCCGATTCTTAACATCGCAGAACATTCACAGTATTTTTGCGGTCTCGAACTCGCAACTCACTGCTACAATTCTGATGTGCTTAACCGCCCGGCCTCCTCGCCGATTCTGACCAGAAACTGGCGCACAGAGCTGGGATCGAACCCGCGCCTCTCTGCGCCAATCATGGTACTCTGAACTGTAACCAATGGGCCACCACTATGCCTAAATGAACTGAATAAACTATATATTTAAGAACATGATTTGACAGCGATGTTTAATTCGGTAAGATGGAAACGAATTTTGTTTTCGTTCTATAAAAGCTATACTATGTAAACGCCAAAAACACCGTATTTCCGAAGAAAGTCAGGATTTAATTATATACATTTTTTATGTTTAGAGTTACACAAGTATAAATCATACATGCCCACAAGAATAAGGTTAGGAAAAGAGGCCAGTTGGTATTTTAATAGTACCGTAGAACTGGTAAGTTTTATAAGAAAATATGGACCGTATAAAAGGAAGACAGTTTCAGCTTTAATTGTATCTTAAACCTATAACAACACCCTAATGACACAAGGTGACGATGTATAGGTGGGTTAAGACATCGACAAGAAAATAAACTATTATGTTTATTAACATGTCAGGATATCCTTAATATCAGGATGACTGTAGCTTCAGGAACCCTGGGTCAGTGTTCGATTAAAAATTCCCCCCCCCCCCCAAAAAAAAATAAATAACATGCATTCGAGTAAGAGAAAAATTAGACTATAACGTATGTAGATATACGTCATAGTCTTCAATGTTCAAAAGTGAACATCTATTCAGAGCATATAAAATTCTAAGGATATGTTGCGTATAGAGGATATTCGTTTAGGATATACAGTGTTAATCATTTAGTTAAAGCATCAGTCAAAGAACATATACAAGGTGATACATAAATAAATGGTTCCGTCAATAGATGGGAAACGCAAGCTGGGAGTCGATACTTTGTCATGCTCACAATCAAGGCTTTCATTCATTAAAATTGTGTATGTTTGAATGGTTCGCAGAATATCAAAATAAAACCGTAGTAAAATTATTGGTCTTTGCATTGAAATATTGCACGAATAAGAGATAAATGAAGCCGAGATTGTTCATGTTTTTATCAGTCACAGCGTTCTCAAAATTCCGAACTGAGCTCAAATGAAATGATGAAATGCATATGAAGCTGAAATGAAGAATACACTAAAGCATAATTTTATGATGCAGTACAGGAGCATATAAATGGAATGCCAAATATTCCTTAATTAAAGAAAGAACAATGGGAGCCGCATTCACCAATTTAACATGAAACCAACCAAGTGAGTAAGTCCCATCATTATAAATCCGTTCGCTATATGAGCTCCAGGTAAACACACAGTAATATTATAGGGGGAAAAAGAATAGCAACTCTGGGACACCTTACCTCTTCCATGTCCGAGTCATACTCGTAATCTAAAGGCTTGTTCGGCCAACTTTCCGCAGAGGCAGGCTAAGATACGGTCATGACAAACGTATGTTAGTGATACGGTCATGACAAACGTGTGTTAGTGATACGGTGATGACAAACGTGTGTTAGTGATACGGTCATGACAAACGTGTGTTAGTGATACGGTAGCCACACTTAGTATATAATATAGTAACTGAGTTAGCGGCGTATTATCAATATGTAGATATTGTGCCCAACCTGCAACACAAGCAACACTTAGTATATAATATAGTCACTGAGATAGCGGCTCTAGATGTGTATAAGAGACAGGTTATACGGTGATGACAAACGTGTGTTAGTGTGTTAGTGATACGGTCATGACAAACGTGTGTTAGTGATACGGCGATGACAAACGTACGTTAGTGATACGGTGATGACAAACGTGTGTTAGTGTGTTAATGATACGGCGATGACAAACTTATGTTAGTTATACGGTGATGACAAACGTATGTTAGTGATACGGCGATGACAAACTTATGTTAGTGATACGGCGATGACAAACTTATGTTAGTTATACGGCGATGACAAACTTATGTTAGTATACGGCGATGACAAACTTATGTTAGTTATACGGTGATGACAAACGTGTGTTAGTGTGTTAATGATACGGTGATGACAAACTTATGTTAGTGATACGGTGATGACAAACGTATGTTAGTGATACGGTGATGACAAACGTATGTTAGTGTTCAAATCAAGCAAGCTAATGCAACGCTGCCCTTGCAATTTCACAGGTAATTTTATTCATTTAATATTTTTTCTTTTAATTTGCAAGGGACAAAAACTCATCCATCACTTGCGTTGATTTTTTGCCCCCAGCCATTACAAGGACTGAGAACTATGCAAAGTGCAAACTAATGGCTACGCCTCATGCCGATCCGGTGAATTTGATAGGCTCCATTTTATGCCTATGACGTTACCTTAAGAATATGAATAAATCGTTACCTAAGTTTTTTCTTTAGAAAAATAGATATTTTCTTAGAATGCTTATTGCGTTCAATTTTCAAGATTCTTTAATACTTCGGTATTCACAAGCAAAGTTTATTGGGTAAAAATTTAAATACACAAATTCATTGACATGAATATTGTGTATGAATTGCATGATATGATGAATCGTTGTATATATGAGTATCAGGGGACGATTAGAAACACAACCAAGAATAAAGATTCTAGAGCAAGAAGACATGACCAACACTCAACCGATATATTTTTCCTCAAAATATTGTTATTAGTGAAGTGGAACTATTATTATTGATATTAGTGGAGAGATATTATAATTATCATTATTACTAGCGAAATATTTTTATTAATGATTGTGAATGAAAAAGCAGCCAGAAGAACAGCATCTGTCAATAGCGCCCACAACGAGTTAGATCAATACAACCGCGTATCGTCATGCAAAAACTTAATAATAACCTTCTATATTATCAAGTAATATTATCAATATTAGTAATATTAGTAACTAATGAAATATATGGTCGCGAATTCTAAATAATATCTCAAATAATTGAGCAGGAACGCTGCAAGGAACAATATTTTTATTATCATTATTCTATACCTCTATTGTCGTCTGCTTAAATTAAAGGAAAATTTAAATTATGTAAAAAAATAACATCAGTTGAGGTATTGTCTTACCGCAATCAGCTAATATCTTGCAAAAGCATTAACGAAACTTTTGCAATACAAAAGTTCTCCCATACAAACAATTAGCCGTTGAGTAAAATGATAGTCAAGTTGAGATTTTCTCTACAACAATTGCCGTGAACCTGAGGGCTTAACTAATAATTAGACCTGAATTTAACCACAATACGCCAAAACATGGGCATGATAGACCTTAAATTTCAGGACGAAAATTATTTATGAATAAATCTAATAGTAATAATAATAATATAAATAATAATAATAAGTCAGACTTAAATTTCAACGGTATTAATGACCTGAATAAATCTACTAATAATACGCCAAAACTCACGGGCATGATAGACCCTAAATTCAGTGATAAAAATGATCTATGAATAAATCTAATAATATTAATTATAATGAATCGAATAATAATAATAATAATAATAAATCTAATAATAATAATAATAAATCCAATAATAATAATAATAAATCTAATATTAATAATAATAAAAATAATAAGTGAGAACTCACGGGAGTTGTGGACGGTCGCAGTGCGCGCTTGCCCCAGACGGAGACGTGTCGGGAGAGGAGCGTGTTGGTGCGCTGTGACATGCTGGCGACCTGCTCCACCAGCTCGCTGGGGATGCTGATGTTGTGCTTGTGTGCTGCACAGTAATAGTGGTGCTGATGTTGTGCTTGTGTGCTGCACAGTAATAGTGGTGCTGATGTTGTGCTTGTGTGCTGCACAGTAATAGTGGTGCTGATGTTGTGCTTGTGTGCTGCACAGTAATAGTGGTGCTGATGTTGTGCTTGTGTGCTGCACAGTAATAGTGGTGCTGATGTTGTGCTTGTGTGCTGCACAGTAATAGTGGTGCTGATGTTGTGCTTGTGTGCTGCACAGTAATAGTGGTGCTGATGTTGTGCTTGTGTGCTGCACAGTAATAGTGGTGCTGATGTTGTGCTTGTGTGCTGCACAGTAATAGTGGTGCTGATGTTGTGCTTGTGTGCTGCACAGTAATAGTGGTGCTGATGTTGTGCTTGTGTGCTGCACAGTAATAGTGGTGCTGATGTTGTGCTTGTGTGCTGCACAGTAATAGTGGTGCTGATGTTGTGCTTGTGTGCTGCACAGTAATAGTGGTGCTGATGTTGTGCTTGTGTGCTGCACAGTAATAGTGGTGCTGATGTTGTGCTTGTGTGCTGCACAGTAATAGTGGTGCTGATGTTGTGCTTGTGTGCTGCACAGTAATAGTGGTGCTGATGTTGTGCTTGTGTGCTGCACAGTAATAGTGGTGCTGATGTTGTGCTTGTGTGCTGCACAGTAATAGTGGTGCTGATGTTGTGCTTGTGTGCTGCACAGTAATAGTGGTGCTGATGTTGTGCTTGTGTGNCCAGCGTTTTGATGCATCACTCACCAACATCAGCCAGCGTTTTAATGCAGTTCTCGACGTTAACACGGTGAGGTCCCAAGACGCCTTGGCTCACACGGTATACGGCGTGCAGAAGCTGAACGAACACCGGCTGCCGGGACTGCGTAGAAAGCAACAAAATATTTCAACAAAATTACAAAGTCTTAACAAAAAAAATTCCATCTCAAAAGCAGCGAAATGTTAGAAAAAATAACGAAATCTTAGCATAAAAAATGTTTCAAAAAAAGAACGCAATGTAACTACAACCAAGACACACAGCTGCGATATCGTAGTATACAATTTCCGGTTGTGTGTGGAATAATAATAATTAAGGTAATGAACACGGGGTTCAATGATAGCACTAGACACACTAGTTTTTATAACAGCACTAGACACTAGGTTTAATAATAGCACTAGACACTAGGTTTAATAATAACACTCGACACTTGGTTTAATAATAGTACGAAACACTAGGTTTAATAATAGCACTAGACACTAGGTTTAATAATAGCACTAGACACTTGGTTTAATAATAGCACTAGACACTAGGGTTCAATAACATCACAAGACACCTGGTTTAATGATAGCATTAGACACTAGGTTTAATAACACCACTAGATGCTAGGTTTAATAATAGCGCAAGACACTAGGTTTAATAATAGCACTAGAAACACTGGGTACGTATAATAACAGCACTAGACACTAGATTTAATAACAGCACTAGACATTTGGTTTAATAACAGCACTGGACACACTAGGTATAATAACAGCACTAGACACTAGGTATAATAGCAGCACTAGAAACTAGGTATAATAACAACACTAGAAACACTAGGTATAATAACAGCACTAGAAATTAATAACAGCACTAGAGACACTAGGTATAATAACAGCACTAGACACTAAAGTATAATAATAGCACTCAACATTAATAACAGCACTGTTTACTAGGTATAATAACAGCACTACACTAGGTATAATAACAGCACTAGATACTTGGTACCTATAATAACAGCACTAAACACTAGGTTTAATAACAGCACTAGACACTAGGTATAATAACAGCACTAGACACTCAGTTTAATAACAGCACTAGACACTAGGTATAATAACAGCACTAGACACTAGGTATAATAACTGCACTAGACACTAGGTATAATAACTGCACTAGACACTAAGTATAATAACGGCACTAGACACTAAGTATAATAACAGCACTAGACACTAGGTATAATAACTGCACTAGACACTAAGTATAATAACTGCACTAGACACTAGGGTTTAATAACAGCACTAGACCCTAGGTATAAACACAGCACTAGACACTCGGTTTAATTTTAAACTAAGAGCGGGCAAGACACATTAGGGCAAGAAATGTAAGGGCGCTATTGGTACCGAGTATCACTCCTTTCTTTGCCCTTAAAATTTTTTTTAATGCAATGCATAATAAGGAGATAAAAGGACAGGCCGCCTCTCCAAATCAAACGCTTTACTCAAACTATTGCGGCTATAATGCATTTTAATATCATTATTGTGTTGAGCAAAATTTCAAAGCGTGAGCACGGACTCTCATGTTTCTGCCTCAAAATGCAGAGAAATTGAAGCTATGGCGCACCTTTCAAAATTTCCGTCTCATTCAGGCGCAAATATATGAAAATAAACTCTTTATGATTATCAACAACATATGTTCTTAAACTACATCAGTCCTATTGCTGCAGAAATTATTACCTGTACATTAAATTTGGTTTACGAAACATAAAAATTTAAATGTTAACTGATTTAAAATACAATTTAAAAAGTTAGGTCAGCAATTACATTATCACAGATTAAACGAGTTTCGAGTAAAATATAAAATGAAATTTAAATATGAGGATTAAAAGATTAATGAAGCATTTAGCTTGACAACGGCACGTTTCACGGCCACAATACATGGATAATTCGCAACACTTCCATGTTGACATTAAAACACAACAACAATAGTTCTATGCAATAAGTTCTATGCTTAAGGTAATTAAGGTAGTCAAGGAATTACGCAAAAACTAATGAATTAATAGCTTGTACATTTGTATTTATGAACACTAAATATTAAGATAACTTTTATTTAGGCATGTCGCTAACCGTCCTGTTTAGTATAACAAGCACATTGCAGCAGCAGAGAACGGCTCAATTTTTCTCAGCACTGAAAAAAATAGCAGCGATCCAGCAACGGCGGAAAAAACAGGTCAAAAGGGCAATAAATAGCAACGATCCAGCAACGGCGGAAACAAAAAAAAAAAAAAGCAGGTCAAAAGGGCAACATAAACATTTTTTCAAATGGCATGTGAGAAGTGAATGTTTTAGAGAACGCTGCAAAATATAAAGTAAAAGCTTCACACAAACAAGGGTGCCATACTTGGTCTTGCTGACCGTCCTTCAGCCAGAACTCCTGTGCCTCGTGTAGGTATTTCTGACCATAGGAAAATAAATGGTCAGACTAGGAGACCCCAAACGCGATTTTAAACGCAGGAAACTTCCCACACAGAATTATCAGGGCAAAAGTGATGGGCAAAGCGAGATATAACAAGTGCTAGTAGGGTAATAAATAAAAATAATAATTCAACAACACGTAGAACTTTATTCAAATTCGGAAAAATTACGGCACGACCCACATAGGAATTCAAGAGTAAAGTGACACAATGCCTCTAATTCAATCCTGTTAACGAAAACCCCGGCGAAAATGAATCAAATGAGACTAGGTCATGAGGGCGGAAATTGCGGCTATAAAATCATAGGCTGCATCCAATCTTGAAGTAAATCAACACGACTGGGAATATGAAGAAGAAGTGTTCGAGATAAATATGAATATTTCGAAATACCAAAGAATTAGGAATATAACTAATGGATAAGGGACAACAGAAATCACGTAACGATAGAAACCCTTCGTGCAACATGAACTAATATTATATGAAATTAATTTACTAAGGTATTACTAATATTAAATTTATTTCCATTTTGCGGAGTTCCCACAATAAAAAATATTAAAGTGGCATGAGGGAGGACGGGTGCAGATACAATAAATTGTTTATAACAGCGATAACTTTATTCAAATAATATTAATAATATATACCAAAAAACAATAATGCATCAAGACCCCAGAGCCGAGAACAAAGTTTAGTGCAGTCAAACAAAGAAGATTGTTTAGGAACCCTGCATTTTCAAGAAGGTTTTTTAGAAAATTTCTATAACTAATCTGCGGAACTCAAAGCCGGACACTTTAACGATCATTGACCACTAGCGTATAACCAACCTGCGGAACTGAAAGACGGAAAAGATGACAACCATTGACTATTAGCGTATAACTAACCTGGATGGTCTGGCTTTGGTCAGAGAACTTGGACTGGAAGAATGTGGATATGATGGTCATGAGGCTGTTGACGACGTAGTTCTCAAGTGCCCTGCAATAAACATCCTTCGTAATGACTTGGCCCCAGCCAGTGCGTAAGCTGAAATGAGAAAACAGCAGTGAGTGCGAGGCACGTCAAACACAATCAAGCAGAGCCGTTGTACCCATGGTTGAACTATATAAGGTTGACCCACGAGAAGTTCCGTCTTTCAGTTCAGCTTTCTTATTATGTCACGTAGATCGAGAAACGTAAATAATCCCGTCATTCCCATGACGGATTGGTTGACTGGTTTGATCGCATATCGGTGAATGGTTAATGTCCGTGACGTCACTGAGATCAATGACGTCACGGGCGAACAACACAATACATCCGCAAAAATGAGCTTCTGATGGGTCAACCTTATACTAGTTCAACCATGCGTTGTACATATAACAATAAGTGCTATAGTACCCACACAATCTGCGTTAGGGAATACTCAAAATAAAGTGCTATTGTGCCCACGTATAAAAGCAGTGTTATTGTACTCATAAATACCGTAACGCCGCGACTCGTCTCAACAATCAACATTCAGTTTCTTTCAACCCTTGTCAGACGGCATTGTTACAACTGTACATATAACCGATATGGTTATAACGTTGTAAAATAATGCAGTGCGACAAGAGTTGAGAGTACGGAAAATTTGAATTTTTTGGTTTGGGTGACGTATTGCCAACTAAGAGATATCTTGACGGGAATTCTCTAAGCAATTTGGAACAGATTTTTGTTACGATAAATAGATAAGAAGCTCATGGTTTTGATGAGAGAAGGGTCGGCGATACATAAAACATTTACGATAATAAATAAATTATGCACATTAATACCGTACTATTACTATTCTACCCATGAAATGATCTACACCATCAAAAAATGAGCAAAATATACGGTCAGCAAACAGTGCGCCTAAAAGCCCCACAATATAGCATGTGTAGTTTAAACAATGTTTACTTTATGCCATGATTGTGTGCATACACAAATATCAGGATAATAGGACACGTGCTATTAACGGTCAATCCAAATTAAGGTAACTGAGAAATATGGACTTTTATTGGGAAAAAGTCAACGTTTTTACATAGAATATGAGAAACCGATTAAAAATTCCAGTTTATTCAGATTTTTATCATCAAACAAACGAATTTAAGGGTAAAATATATAGCAAACAAAGTTGGAATAATAAAGGAAGAGATCGAGTGCAGGAAAAACTGGAAAATTTATCCTCAAATCGCAAATTTCATACTATATTCGACACACAAAATCTAAATAACACATACGAAATTTAAACTTAGAAAGTATGACCACAATGTAATCTTGTGTTTTTTTACACAAGATTCATCGGCCTTCATCCAAGATATGATAATGAGCATCCATCGCTGCACACTCAACAACGTGCATTTCATTTCTCCACAACATGATGAAGAGTTCAATAGATAACAGCAAGCAATAAGGCATCTTGTAAATGTGAGTTCCCATCGCAAAGAAGCGAAGCGCTAAATTTCACTACAAACTATGAAACAAGTCATTTAGAGTGCGTATAATTTGCGTTACATAGCGTTGAGTTAGGCAGTTGAATTTTCAAGAAGATTTATAACAAACTAGAGGTATCAAACGCAGAGCATAAATTTTATGCTGAGCGCTCTACAGGTTGCAAGCAAGAGCTATTGGAAAAACGGTAAGACTGCGTGTATAGGAATTAAGAATTGTAAATAGGAAATTCCAACGAATATGAAATATTTACAGAAGATTCAGGGGGGAGACACATGTTCGGCATGAGTGGAATTGGAGATCAAGGGCTGTGCTATCAAATATAGCTGAGAGTTCGTAACTCGGTCAGCCAATCATTGACTGCCTATCAAGCTAAACTTACCAATCACAGACAGGAGAACGGCCGCCACATGTACCTATACCGTTATGTGTACTTAAGCCGCTACATGTACCTAGGTCGCTACGTGTACTTAAGCCGCTACGTGTAACTAGGTCGCTACGTGTGGTTGCTACTTGTGTTTAGGCTGCTACGCGTATTAAGGCAGATACGTGTACATAAGCGAGTTTTGATAGCGCGGGCCAAAAGCAAAGAAATCGAGAACAAATCTAGACGACGCAGAGCGGTGCTCGTAGTAACTACGCTTTATACAATTCAAACTACAGCTAATTCATTACAATTACAGACCATTCACGGTAGCAACAATTAAGTGCACTGCAAAAATCAGTGGCTCGTATTGCTCAAATATTGACACACTTCCTTACCACAAAACAAGTAGCAAGCGGGCGTATAGCGTCCATACGCCCTTTAGCCGTGCCAAACTAAGCCAAGACCTGTATCGATAGTGCACAGAAAGGTGCATCGCAATTTGGACAAATTCTCCCAAATTTTTCTGAGTGGCACGTTGGATATGAGGATTACCTCTCAGCGGTGCGGCGGTCGGGCGTGGCTGTGGCTACACGTCCCATATCCACCAGGAAGGATTTCTCGAAGAGGCTCCAGATGTGGTGGCTGTTGTAGATCTCCTTCATCTCGACCTCGGTGTCGATGTAGCAGTGGTTCAGGAAATTGATGTATGCTTCTTTAACCTAAACATCAACGTCATGTCAGAATATGCGTTTAAATTCCGTGAAATAAATGAGAATTGTTATTTAAAATCAGTAAAATTGTAACGACGTATTTATCATAATTTGCAGTTAAAATCAGATGTGAGAATTTCATTCAAATATGCAAGCCAAAGAAAATCTTCAGTTCACGAACTAAATTGAAGATAGAAGTAGGAGCTTGATATGAAATCGAAATGTACAGCTTTAAATTATTAACTGTTATGACAATGGTTAATGGATTTTAACGAAATAAAGTACTAAATGTTGCATAGATATATTACGGATTAGCTGGTAAATCAAGTGATTGACGGAAAAAAACTAAGCGATGCAGAACCCAATATGCGCATGCAATATGATCGTGATTAAAAGACAATTGCTTCAGATGTGTTAGATGGTCAAGCAAGCGCCGGTACAATTTGAGAACATTTTAAACGAATAAAACTAGGCCATGCAAAACACAAGCAGGCTACTATCCGTGGTTGGTTGAAGTTCGGCAGGTTACTACCCGAAGTTGAAGTCCGGCAGGTTACTACCCGAAGTTGAAGTCCGGCAGGTTACTACCCGAAGTTAAAGTCCGCAAGTTACTACCGATGTCGCGATACCACGAAATTTTACACACCTCAACAGAAGGAAATACCGAGACAAACTAGAAACTGTACAGAAAAAAAAGCACTCGGTATAGAATGTAGAAGAATTCGGAAGCAGATGATCAAAATTAACTGAAGGGAAGAAAATGCTATTACTTAGGCATTGTAATAACAGAAATTAGAGTCGCGACTAGTATAGCCGACTACAAGCCGCTTCGAAATTTACGTTAAGTAGGATAATTTAAGTATACTGTGAATAGACAAGAAATTATAGTATAACTGTTCCTAATTAAACGTATAGCTCCAACAGAAAGTCCATACTTTCCCAGGGGTTGATAGCTACATCGTGAGTGTTCACATTATTGCTGGGATTTTAAGAGAATGTGAAGAGCACTTTGAGTGCTGGGATTTTAAATTTTTTCATCTTTTAGGCGTTTACTTCTTTTCAGGGCTTCAGAGAAAACTGGCATTGATTTAATATACATGTTCTAATTCTGGCTTTTTTCGACCATCTATCATGGCGGCAGTTAAGTTTCATCGACCGTATTTGAGTCTTTCGGCAGGATGGAACAATTCGTATATAGTCAATATACGGTACCCTCGGCATGGATATGCGATCTGCATCGCCAATGCCATTTCAAGAGGGTAAATGCAGTCGGTACCGTCGATGCCATCTTTTCCTGGGTCAGCGCTCGGCATAGTCGATGCCATCTTGAACAGGGCATTTAATTGAGTGCTATCGTCAGTGTCATCTCAACATAGATATGCGATTGCTATTGTTTCAACAGCTTGCATATAATAATGAGTGCGGCTTATGCGTGTTCAAACATAAAATTTACCTAAAAAGCGAATATACAGCTACTGCCCAGTCGAAATTCAGATTCCTTTCTGAGTCGCCCAGGGCGCCATTGACTCGGATTAGAGGTGAATCAGATGTAAATCGGCCACCTACTCTATATTCGGCTGCTAATTAGGAGCTTACTGCGGGACTCGCCTAATCTGCGTAATATAACCAAAAAAGAGCAGCTGATCAGGCTGTCTCGTGTCAGACACTGGTATTTGAGCGTACCATGACCATATTCCGCTCATGGATTGGCATTGATGTATGTACAAGCGACTACGTTTGTTAAGTCATTCGATGGAACGAGATGAGAATGACTTTACCAATTTTTTGAGCTTACGTCGTAGTTAGATAGTAATTTAATTAATTATATGACAAAAAGATCCGAATTTATTTTGTTATTTATTTTAGGATGGCACTGCTTGATATTGTGATGACAGTGCATTGCCTGATGACAGAACTATGCTTTCTGAAACCTAGCCTCAAATGCGGTGAACGCAAAATTACGTAATTTAACGATGTTGGAAGTCATATTCGATCTGCGGCCTGGTGGTGCACGGCAGGTTTTATGCAAGGCCGGAGAGGACAAAGCCTAGTGGTTAATTTCACACTAATTGGTGGATGTCCGGAGAGATCAAAGGCGTTCGATTCAGGGCTTATTGGTGCAAAAACTTGGTGGTGCACGGCTGCCCTTCCCTGAACATTTTTATAAAATATAAGTTCCCTAGTTTTACTGTACAAAGCTTCCTAAAGTGAAGTTTGTTGAAAAACCCGACACCGGATACCGATATGGCATACAGCGATTCAAATGCCCCTTCCCTTCCCGGCCATAGTGTAAGGGGGAACAGAGGGTGCATTTTTTAACCCACTTTTCAGATTAGGACGAGTCCGCGCCTGGCATGAAAAGTGTCCGTGACAGGTGTCAAATTCGCGCGCCCCACGGCTCACTCGGCCTATATGACCGGATTATATTAAGACGCTCATTTCGCTCGTACAACCAGCGAGTAAAGCAGACAAAGAGCCGGCTAATTTACGCGCCGGGCGAGTTAAAGGCGTCTGTAATTCAGAAGCTAAGCACCCCAAAATTTCGATAGGGTCAATTAGGTTAAATTACACTCGTAGATAGTGACGACCGGATGAATTTGAAGCTTTTTTAAACCACCCTCACCACTCAAAAAATATTGGAAAACACACAATTGAACAAGTTCAAAGAAAATCTCTCAAGGTAAATCAAAGTAAAATTACGACAAGAAGAATCGTCAAACACATACAGAACCCGAGAGCACAAAACCCGTTATAGCAGAGAACAGGAGAATTGCACGCCGTAGAGTTCTTCCATTTGTTACTGAACCTTTTGTAAAGGTTTCAAGTTTCTCTTGAAATGACGAGATTGCGTCAAATATATCAAAGTCATGTTGAAGTTTTCCAAGTCGCAGAACATGTTTTGCGGCTCAACGGAGAAAAACAGCGAGATTAATCAAATTTAGTTTACAATATCAACAAATTGAACGCGGCTAACATCATGCAGCTGATTATCTTCTTAGGCTTCGTGTAGCGTTGAAACTTTTCACAGTTCAGTCGTCTCAGAATAACAGACTGAGAGTAGCATTTCAAGTAATTGTTCATTCTTAAGTGGTTACTCACTACACAATTTATTTGCTGGGTTCGCACTTACCCTAACCAAGCTACATGCAATTTAAACCGACCAAGCTGCATGCTATTTACCCTAACATAGCGCTTGCTATTTACCCTAATATAGCTGCATGCATGCTATTTACCCTAGCCAAGCTGTAGATGTGCTCTTATTTACGAGAAACACAATTTTTAGAAGAATACAAGCAAAAATTAGGTTTGGAAGTTGATATTTTGTCATGAAGGTTAAAACTGGAATTTAAAGATATACAGAAGCTGTGTGGTAAGCATAGACCGGGAAATCTATACCTACCCTGAAATAAGAAACTGTGCATTTCAGCAAAAGGAACACTCGTCAAGTGTGTAAAAAAATAAGAACACCAGAAAAAAAGCCACTAACTATAAAAACTAAGCTCACTCAGGAAGAAAGAAACGATTGGAAGAGTGCAACAAGAAAATGAAGAGAAAGAGTAATAACAGGTATGAGAGCAAACGAATGATTTTTAAGTGATATTTGCGCCTGATATTTGAAAAAGAAAAATGGATCCGAAAAAACGTTACCGGCAGATCAAATCATCATGTGTAAAGTAGATTCAAATGTCATGTTTGGCAAACGTTTATCAGGCTTATCATCAAGCGATAGCTTCATGATTAATGAGTTTAGAATCTTTATAAGAACTTCATGTTTCAAGCGATGCACGTGGAAAGCCACGATGCACGTGGAGAGGCACGATGCACGTGGAGAGGCACGATGCACGTGATGAGGCACGATGCACGTAAACACAATATGAGGCACGGTTGTGCTGATGTCAGACCTGGAGGAGGGCGTCAGGGTGCGTGCATACCGTCACGATATCGTCAAGAGTCAGCACGCTGTGACACTTGATCTCCGTAAAGACGTTCTTGCCCTGTGTCAGCTCCGACAGAAGGTTCACCAGCTCAACGTGGTACCTATAACACGCCAATAACACCAGCTCAACGTGGTACCTACTACACGCCAATAACACCAGCTCAACGTGGTACCTACAGCACGCCAATAAACGTTCTTTGTTCTTATGCCACGTCCACGGCCATGCTGTAAGCGCCACCTTTGTCGGCTAGCGCTGACGCGAAATTTTTTCACGGATTGCTGGTGATCGAATTCACAACGCGTTTCCCAAAATCTAGGGGCGCTTGACCGCTTGAAAAATACGAAATGTCACTCATTGCCCAGTTCCCATAACCATTTATCCTTCAAGAACAATGACGCAATAAAATTGCAAAAGATAACAGCGCAGGAGGCTTTCCAGAATGCGCATATGTCTAAATTAGTAAAGAGGAAACGACATCCAAAATCCAGTACAATCAACATACAAAGAAAATACTGAACCACACAAAAAAACGAATGAGAGAAGTCAATCGGAACCACACCAATCAAGTTAATCAATTAGAAATGAAATTCAACCAACCCACGATAAAAATGTTGAAGGAATGAACCCTCTCTGAACATTTCCTACACACACCAAGAACGTAGAGGACGACAAATTTCTTATTGTGTAGCCATGACGCTTCACAGGTCAGACCTATCAAATGCTAAGTAAAATCACCACAAAATTATTAAATAAAAGCAATCTACTCATGAAATCAACCACAATGAGCTTAGCTTCCGCAAGAAATACGAACCAAACTTGGTATGTACGTGCAATTTTCAGATAAAAATATAATCGAAAAGACATTTTTTCAAGCAATCCAGACGCCGGCAGCCACAAAATTACGATTCACAGATGAAACAATAGCAGGAATCTTCGAACGGTTAGAATAGATTTAGAAAAATTAGGTCCATTTTTCTAAGTAAAAATGTGCATTAATTAAAATTGGTGCGCGGTGCGCGGTTATGAAGGATATAAATAATAGAAAACAGGTTAAATATTAAATGAAGATGCATTAGTACCTAAATTAAGGAATATCAATAGCAAAGATTATTATTCAGGAGATGATGAGATCAGGTGCAGCATCTGGCTTTGGCAATTCATATAACACTCAGGAAAGTGAAAAAACTTTGTCCAAAATAGCGATGCATTTTTCACTTTTGCGTGGGTCATCTTGACACTTTTTATCCCGGTGAAAGGGCGCATCAGCTCTCGGCTTGTGCTTCATGGGAAAAAGTCTGTCACGATTTGGACAATAAGACAGGTTAATTTTTCTGAGTGTTAAGGTTAAGACAAGGACAACATACATGCGTGACGCGCCCACACATCTGAAGCTCTGAAGTGCACATGCGATTATAAAATTTGCGATGTTAGTTAACTAAACAGGAGCCGTACTATTACTAATAGTTATGAGTGAATGGATTATCACTATCATGAATAGTTACGAGTTTGTAACTACGTCAGCCAATCAATGACGGCTTTTTTAAGCTAAATGAAGCAATCACAGGCGAGAAATTGGCCGCTACGTGTACATTAGGCAGCAACGTGTACTTAGGTAGCAACGTGTACTTAATCTAATTTCGATAGTACGGCCTCTGTTGGTTATTAATAATGTTAATAATGTTAAAGGCAGGATAATCAACTAAGAAAGGTTTGGGGATTAAAAGGTTAATCATGAAGGTTAAGGACTGAGAGCAGTAGCAGCCGAGGACTCGGTGTTACCTCAGGGATGCAGTCTGGATGATCGACCATGTTGACTATGTCATCTAAAGGCAAGAGAGACTGACACTTTATCTCAGTCGAGGCGTTCTTGCCTTCCGTGCAGCATGCCAGCAGCCGCACCAACTCTATGTGGTACCTGACAGGATAATTTAGTTGCAGTGAAATGTGGTACCTGGGATACCACATCACGAATGTGGTGCTTGAGGTATCAAATCAGCAGTGCGGTACTTGGGGTATCACATTTGATACCCCTTGGAGTACCTGGTAGAATAAATTTGTTACAGTGGAATGTGGCAACTGAGGTACCGCATCAGGAATGTGGTGCCTGAGAAGAGAGGATTTTTACAGAGGAATGTAGTGCCTGAAGTATCACATCAGGAAAATGATACCAGAGTGGACAATGTGGTAGCGTTATAGTGTAATGTGGTACCGGAGCTACGATATCAGGAATGTGGTACCTGAGACAGCAACTATGCAGCAGCAACATGTTATGTGGTACCTGAGAGAAGAATCAATATCAACCCATTATAAATAAATAAGTATTATGAAAATTAGTGCAAAAAAAGAATATAATAAATGATAGACGAGCTTGGAGGCAGCAAGTTCAATGAATTTTATGGCAATAATTGTACTGGTATTCATATCATTCATTATTCTGAATCAAATGAGTCAATTTAAACTTTGCTTGCAGAGTGTAATTGTCTCTTTGTGTGCTCTGGGTATGAGTATTCACTCAGACATTCATTTGCAAAGTCAAATCTATAGAAGTGACTTAGTCGTTTCAACACGCATTACCATAACAAGTTTAACTTTTCATGTCGCCGTTCCGTACTCAACCTAAGACTCGCATAACAAGGAAGGAAAGCTCACAAAACACAGTTATTTATTCGCCCTGCAATTCAACGGGTAATGATTCATTTGTTCAGGTAAGTAGCAGAATAAGTAGAGAGGTGGTATAAATCCTGTTCCTCGGCATGAAGTTACACGTGAAAAAGGACAAATATTTCGTCCACATTGATATTCAATGGATAATAATTAACTTTTTCCGGCCTAATATCCCCATATTTTTGTCCGTACCTGAGCTGGCTGCCCTCGTCGAGATCCATTTTGTTACGTTCGGTTTTCATCATCTCGATGAAGGCGCTGAACGAAGACTTGTCGTTGTAGAAAACCAACACGTCCTCCTCCGCGTTCAGCAGCTGTCAACGCAATGCCATCATCATAATACGTTCACTAACGTCTACAATCTTTCTGAGGCTGCACCAACAATCATCATATCATGAGCAATCATTGAGAAACATCACCAACAATCATCGTATGACAGAGCCACTGTCATAGTGAGGCTACAGAAGCAATCATTGTTAAATTTCAGCAACAATCACCGTAGTCGGAGTACACCATCTATCATTGTGACACCTCACAGATGTGCAGAAATGCACTAAGTACTATTTCAAGAACAGATCAAGCAGTAAGGCTGTAGAAATTCGAAAAGTAGGAACCATCGCAGGCGTGCGAATTATCTACGGCTAAAGGCAACGCCAAAATCGATAATTTTTCTCAACATCAGCTGACGATGAATAGTCTTTTATATTCATGCAGGTTTCATCTATAAACAGTAATATAGTACGAATAACATGAGTATAACCTGCATGATCAACGAATAAAATAAGTTATGACCTTCTGATGAATATCCTCATACCTCTTGCATGACTAAAGTTTATGATTACTAATCACCCAATATATATAAATATGACAACACCACCCTGCAAAATCTATATACCTCCTATAGCAAGTACTAATTACCTAATATAAATAATATTATACCTCCTGCATGACCATGTCTGTAGTAAGCACTAATCACCAAAAATAAATAAGACACCATCTCCCGCATAACTAACGTCTATAAGAAGTACTAATCACCTAATACAAACATGTCATCACCTCCTGCATGACCATGTCCTGACTCCTCCTGATGAAGTGTCCCTCAGCCTTCACGATGGTCTGAAGGAACTTCAAGTACTGCACGTGTCGCCCCTGCGTCTCTATGCACTGTACGAAGTGCTGGATCACGCGCTCTGCCACCTCGCTGCACAGCACTGCGTTGTCTTTGAAGATCGCGCAGATCGTCTTAGCCTCCAGCAACTGCACGTTTGTGACATAATTTTTCTGAGTATAATGATAATAAATATATTTTTTTAGCGTATAAAACATTTTGAGGATAACGCTAAGAAATATATTGTTTTGAACGAAGACAACATTTTAAGGATAACGATAAGATTGAAGATCGCGCAGATCGTCTTAGCCTCCAGCAACTGCACGTTTTTAAGATAAATTTCCTGAGTATAATGATAATAAATATGTTGTTTCGAGCAAGATAACATTTTGAGGATAATGATAAGAAATATATTGTTTTAGCGTAGGATAACGTAGGAGGATAACGATAAGATATATAAAGTTTCTAGCATGGAGAATTTTAGCTTGAGAAATCGAGATAAGGAATAAAATTATTGGCTGGGATTTAATGTGAAGAATTTTTTTATAAAAACTATGATGATAGAAATGATAAGGAACTTTCAAATGAAAATCTAATAAAACTACAGTTTCAATCAACTACATAAGAATAGTTTGTTTTTAATTAACAGTTGTCCCTGCGAAGCACGAGGTCGTCCTTCAGAAAAATACAAAATATAAAATTTTCACAAACAATATTTTTAAATAATCTACCTAATGTCAATACTAAATTTACACCAAGCCCAAATTCTACGCGAAAAGTAACTAATTGAGCGAACACTTGATATATATGTTATTATTTAAAGGTAATGTAACTCACGCCGGGATTGAGGAACAAGTCAATGTCTTTGTGGAGCAGAACTTGATTCTGGCGGTCGCCCAGACAGAAGTTCTGCAGGAACTGGTGCGCCAGTTCTATAAGCTCGTTCATGCGCTTGTCTTCCTTCTTGTCGTACGGAATCTGCAGCAAAATGCGACGTGCTAAATGAGTTAAAAATATAGCTCAGTACTCACTGCAGTGAGTGACAGAGAGCGCATTTTCTCGTCGATGAAAACTTGAAGTCACGGACAGACGGACGGACAGACAGACATACAGATTGCCGGGCATTACGAGCACAATAGCGCTTTTTTCCATAAATGAGAAAATGCGCTAAAAATAAGAAAATTAGGTTTGGTTTCTTCATATGCATTCAGAAATGAATGATTGAATACCGTACGTATTGCAACAGCGATGACTGGCATTGATTTGAACGTATAGGAGAATCTTGTGATAAAAAGTAGCAATATACATAGATTTATAAACATCTGTTGTTGGATAAATTGGCACTATGAGCGTTAAATTGTATATATCAGATATCAGATCTATATACATCAGACGCGGATAAGATGTATATATCAGACTGTACGAACCGATACACATGCATACAGGGATACACGAGTTATTTGTATACGTGAAGCAGCAGCAAGGGGAGACTGCATGAAGAAATGTATGAAAGTGAGACAAAATTTGGACGGAAGTGAGTCAACCAAATATGAAACTGAATCAACCATATATGAAAGCGAGATGAAAGTGAGTCAACCTTAGATGAAAGCGAGTAAAAGGATAGTATGGACCAGGAGGATATGAAAGTGAGTCAACCTGAGGCATTACATCATAGTCGTCAACGCAAGCGAGTGATAGTCACAGGCTGCACACAAAGCACCCCCATCGAACACCTTCATGCAGAAACAAAAATACTTCCCATAAAAGCACACCTCGACATGAGAGGAACACAATTCATAGCCGCAGCCATAAACAACACACAACACCCATGCCACTACCTACGCAACCACCCACCTACACACAGACAAATAGTGCAAACCCCACACAGATACTACACCAACATACTAGATACAGTACCCCCACCCCAAGGCAACACCAGCACAAAAAACACTTACACACAATTATGACACTTAGAACGCTGGAGCTGGCCGGCAACAACAAAGTCCTTGGACAAAACACTTACACACAATTATGACACTTAGAACGCTGGAGCTGGCCGGCAACAACAAAGTCCTTGGACACCCACCACCTGACATAAGCAGCACAGAAACACAGCTCTCTAGACTGGAGAGAGTACACCTAGCCAGGCTGCGCTGCGGCGGCGCGGCCACCACCCCTCACTACAAACATACGCAAACAGAATAGGCCAAGCAGACACAGACACCTGCCCATCCTGCCAGAGAGCTCCCCACACAATCACTCACATTCTCCTGGAATGTCCGCTCTGGCAGGACCTTAGACAACACCACCACATAACCTCGACCCTATAGCTCTGGAGCGAACCCCTGTCGGTGGTGTCGTACCTGCGCGAGGGGGGTCTCCTGTAAAATTGAGACCGGGAAACCACAACAACAACAACGCAAGCGAGTCATCCTTGAACGAAAGTGAGTCAACCGTGGCCATAAGTGACTCAACCATATCCATAAGTGGTCAACCATGTCCATAAGTGAGCCAACCATATCCATAAGTGAGTAAGAGCACACAAGTAAGTCAACCATGGCCATAAGTAAGTGAGAGCACGACACACCTGCAGCAGGTCGAGCACGACGCTATGCACGCCCATGTTACGCAGGAGACGCTGCTCGTTGCGGCGCGGGCTCGGGTTGCCTGAAGACGACACCACCACGCACAGCTTGTTCATGCGCGTCAGGATCTGCGCACATCATACATGAATATCACATGATATTTATTATATAATGTTTTTATCTAGTGCACTAACAATTCCGACAAAATAATTAGTAGCAATAATTATGAAATAATTTTTTGAAAATAACAATAATTTTGAAAACATAATTACTAGCAATAATTACGAAATAATTTTTTGAAAATAACAATAATTTTGAAAAATAAAATTAGATAAGACAACAGCTTGTAGTTCTAGATCTGTTCAGTCTCCAAAGAGGTGCCAATACCAAAAGACGACATTATCATTAAAAATACCAATTAATAAATAGAAAATATTATATTGTCTGAAATAAAACTTTAAAAATTAGCAGGTGTAGGTATAAACATTCGAGACTCGCCTGCTGCATGTGCTTGTAGTTCTTGATCTGTTCGGTCTCCAAACCCAGAGACGAGATTATCATTAAAAAGACATATTATAAATAAAGAACATCCCGTGGCCTTCAATAAATTTTAAAAATTATAAGATGTAGGTATAAACAGTCAAGACTCACCTGCTGCATGTGCTTGTAGTTCTTGATCTGTTCGGTCTCCAGGGGCGGACCGAGTCCCAGGTCTATAGCAGAGCCCTGCTTCTGCATGGGCGCCGGCACCTTCTTCTCCTCAGTCGCTGCAACACAAAAAATGTCAGAAACATGGCAGAATTAGACACTCTTATTAAACCCATACAAGTAAGATCATACATTTACATCCATTTAAACTTATTTTACTGTGTATATTTAGGCAACAACGAAATTTAGATACCACAAGCCATCTGTTTTAATACTTTAACAGCCACGTTTTCTGTCACGCCACGAAGCAGAAAATCATTTATACTTCGCCATGGATAGGTTATTTAAGAAGAATATGGTTAATAACAGCCGCAAATACGTGGGAGATGATGAAGCCGTGAAATAAGATTCATAAACACTAATTAAGTTTCTAATTTACTATCGGTAAAAGAATATTTATTCATGAATTTCGCCATGACGTTAATTCGTACTAATTAACAATTTCATTCATTACCGTTATTCATGAACCCCTCTTTAGCCCATGTCGGATTGCATAGGTGGAGCTGTACCTATACTCAGTTCGATTATAACGTCGTAAAATTATTCAGCCAAAGGTTAAAGTAATTAAAAATAATATCAATAAATTTTTCTCAGAGTGACGTGTTACATATAGGACACTTCCAGATAATTTCCTAGCCAAAGTTAAACCACAACAAAGAAACATTTCTAATTACCCTCTTCCTCATCGTCCTTTTTCTTTTTCTTCTTCTTCTTGCTGGTGGTGTCGGTGGAGCGCCCTTTGTACACCCAGAGTTCGCTCTTCTCCACCAGGTTGCGGAGGTCGTCGAGGTCTTCCTTAATTTGCTTGTAGGACTCCACGTCGCTATCCTGCACCAGCAGCTGGACCTGTGCACACAAAATATTATTGCACTACATTTGGGAGATATGATACTTCACAATCTTATACAGATTTGTTTCATTTCATTTATCGCTTTCAAACTTCTTCAAATAATATCCTAAATATGTAACGTGCCCTTGAGGTCTGTTGTACCAGACGTCACGATAATCGCTTCGTATTGTGAACTAATATTTAATTTCGTATGTCACTAATATTTAATGCTCGATTGATACTATTATTCATTCTCATGTGCATTCTTGTGACTAAATTATTCTGTAGCGTCTGGCAAAGCTGCACCAGTAACATTAGTGTTAGACCTTACTGCAGTAGGAGCTATGTAGCGCGAGGTCAGGGGCCATACGTTCAAAAATCTTTAAGAAATCGTAAGTTCATTAGCCAATCAAGCTAAGTCTACCAATCATAGACAAGGAAATAGAACGTAAGTACTTACGTTCACTTAGCGAGTTTTGAAAGTATGGCCCCAGGTCTGTGTGGCTGTGAGTCAGGTAGTCAGTTGTGTCCCGCCAGCCCTACAGTGAGGTTCTAACCTCAACTCACCTCGCTCCGTTGCTCCACTAGCGATCTTGTGTTCCAACGCTAGTTCTTGTGGCTGTGCTATAAACGCTTCATCAAGCAGTGTAATGTCTCTCGTGCTGGTATTGCTATTTTGTTAAACGTGTGGATTTTAAGTGATCTTTACTGAGATAAAAGTCGAGTTTTATCTGTGTTATATGAAGTTTTAATTGACGGAATCCCAGTGCAATAAAGTCCAATTCAACTTTTATCAAAGTCATCGTATTTTTACAAGATTGTTGCCGGCGTCTGGCCGTAAGGCTCGAGATATTTTGACAAGATAAAAGGTAGCGACGAACTTCCGGTGGCAGTATAATAAGAAAGTAATGAAAATGCACAGTAACTGGACACATAAATTACCTGCTAGAAGCTGTTAAGCACCTCGATGTGCTGGAAGAGAGGTGCTGGAAGAGAGGTGCTGGCATTACCTGCTTGAAGCTGTTGAGCACCTCGATGCGCTGGGAGAAGTGCTGGAAGAGAGGTGCTGGTAGAGAGGTGCTGGCATTACCTGCTTGAAGCTGTTGAGCACCTCGATGCGCTGGGAGAAGTGCTGGAAGAGGAGCTTGAGGGAGCGTGACACGAGGGGCGGGTACTCGTGCATGACGAGGTGCAGCAGCACGCGCAGCAGCTTACAGCCGCTCTCTCCGTCCAGGTCTAGCTCGCTCTCACGGTTACTGCTGTCACCGTAAACAACAGTTAATTACAGTTAAACAATTGTTAATTATTTATAGAACAGCTGCATAGAACATCAATTTTATTTATATTATACCTGCATAGAACACATAGAAAACTTTTTTTTATTACAGCTGCATAGAACCTTCATTTTATTTATAGAACAGCTGCATAGAACACATAGAAAACTTTATTTTATTACAGCTGCATAGAAAAATTTTATTTATATTACAGCTGCATAGAACATTAATTTTATTTACATTACAGCTGCCCAAAAATTAATTGTGTTTATATAAGAGGTGACCAATTAGTTAGTCTTTTGTATAACGTGTGCACATTATTAGTTTGGTATTAAATTAGTGTTGAAAACAGCTGGTCAGAAAATTTATTTTGTTTTGATTACATCTGCTCAGCCATGACTTATTTCTTAAGGTAATAACAACTAACTGACCGTTCATCAAAGATGTTCTGCGCCATGTTCCAGATGTTCTCAAGTAACTGACCGTTCATCAAAGATGTTCTGCGCCATGTTCCAGATGTTCTCAAGTAACTGACCGTTCATCAAAGATGTTCTGCGCCATGTTCCAGATGTTCTCAAGTAACTGACCGTTCATCAAAGATGTTCTGCGCCATGTTCCAGATGTTCTCAAGTAACTAACCGTTCATCAAAGATGTTCTGCGCCATGTTCCAGATGTTCTCAACGTTCTTATGCTTGAGACCAGGAGTAGAGTTGCCCTCGGCCGCAAGACTCGCGTTCTCGTCAGACTCGCGCTTGAAGATGGAGAGCAGGCAGCTGATGCGGTAGTCCAGCCGCACGTTCAGGATAAACTGCACCAATTAAGATTAATCAATGGTGCAAAACTGCATCAATTAACATTAATCGATGGTGCAATAATTCACCACAATACTTAATTAATGGTCGTGGTGAACCAGTTAATGGTCCTCATCATTGACCGTCGTTATTCCTGCGTAACATTAATGGTCGGTAATCCTGCACGCCATTAATGGTTGTTATTCCAACATTAGAATGATGGTTATTATTCAACCCAATTACCCACGAATAAAGTAGATAACAATTAAGATATCTAACTTACAACTCACTTAACCTTAAAATTCAATAAATGCAAATGGATGTCACAAAAACGTAACGCTACCTCGAGAATTTCGACGATCTTGAGTTTGGTGTCCATAAGAAGCGTGTCTTCTTTCTTAGCCGTGCTGGCGCTCTTCTTAGGCGATGCACCTGTAGACGCGACCTGCTTACCACCTGCACTCGAGGCACCTGTTGCTTTAGAGGCAGAGACACCACCTGCACCTGCACCCATCAGAGACTCACCACACCCTGGCATCCTAGCACCCACACCTGACGTGGCTAGTGCTAGGTGGGTCACCACGCTGCCCATGTCAATGATGGTCTTCGTTACTCCGCCCATAGCTGTTTTACCCCCGGGGCAAATGCAGCCATAGCAAAGGCGGTGGTGGGCAGGGGAGGCAAAGGCGGTGGTGGGAAGAGGGGGCAAAGGCAGTGGTGGGCAGGGGAGGCAAAGGCGGTGGTGGGAAGGGGAGGCAAAGGCGGTGGTGGGAAGGGGAGGGGAGGCAAAGGCAGTGGCGGGAAGAGGGGGAGGGAGGCAAATTCGGTGGTGGACGTGGAGGCAAAGGCAGTGGTGGGCAGGGGAGGCAAAGGTGGTGGTGGACGGGGGAGGCTTAGGCGGTGGTGGACGGGAGAAGCAAAGGCCGTGGAGGTCAGGGGAGGCAAAGGCAGTGGAAGATGGGGAAGGCAAAGGCAGTGGTGGATAGGGAGGTGTTTGGGAGAAGGAAGGGCCCGTGAAGAGGGGACCAATGAATAGATAGTGAAGTGAATACGAAAAGGAAGAATGAAGATTGAGGTTATCGACGATCGGCTTATGTTAAAATGACAAATAAGGGCGCAAGCAACGAAAAATAAAGCAAAGACATGAAGGGATCGGAAGTCGGGAAATGGATTGATTACACAAATGAAAACAATCGCATCATTGGTGTGCTCGGCAACGGATTAGATGAAGGTTTAACGATGGTGGTGAGTGATGGAGCATTAGATGGAATGAGGAGGCCGATGCGGGGAGTAGCGTTACGTGTAGTTATGCACGTTGCAACGTTACGTGACGTAATGCACGTAGCAACGTTACGTGAAGTTATGCACGTAGCAACGTTACGTGAAGTTATGCACGTAGCAACGTTACGTGAAGTTATGCACGTAGCAACGTTACGTGAAGTTATGCACGTAGCAGCGAGGCATGAAATGTAGAGAAAAAATACGTATGCAGAAAAACGAGCCTCAACCCACATTGGCAAGAGAGGCATGTGAGAAGAAATGAGAAGAAGCGCGTTAAGGGAAACATGCGCGAGAAAAGGATATTGAGAGACGCATGAGAGAAGCGTGTGAGGGGAAGCATGTGAAAAAAATGAGAAGAAGCATGTGAGGGGAAGCATGTGAGGGGAAGCATGTGAGGAGAAGCATGTGAGGGGAAGCATGTGAGGGGAAGCATGTGAGGGGAAGCATGTGAGGGGAAGCATGTGAGGGGAAGCATGTGAGGGGAAGCATGTGAGAAGCATGTGAGGGGAAGTGTGTGAGTGTCCGTGTGTATCGGAGAGGTGAGAAGGGAGAACACAAAATGAATTAGTATTGGCAAAAAAGTTGAACAAAACGTAAAACTACAACGATAATTAGGATACAATTTCTAAGGGAGTTTCTAAATAATACAACATGAAAGTATCAAAAAGAAAAAAAACTCGTCAGTGGAGCATTAGGATGAAACTTCTACAACAAAATTAAATTCTTTACTATGGACACAATAAAAAAAAACAGACAAAAAAAATAATTTGGTAAAAAGTGAAATTTTAAGTTAAATTTTTATAGCCAATCAGTAGCCAAGAATATATAACGGCACATTCACAAATATACTAACACAAAATGCAGATATCTAATAAAAAAATCTATCATTCACGATTTTTCTGTTGACAACACAGCGCAAACTAAAGCTAAATACAAGCAGAAACTAATAAATACTACACACGATCACAATACATGAAATATGTTGAAGCAATTTATACGCGCCTACAAACACAACAAAAGCAATTCAACTCAGGTGGCGGTAAATTGAACTTACAATATGAAGTTAACATATACAACTATAGAGGTGGAGAGCTATAGGCTGCTATATATGATGCAGTCTGTAGATACAGCATATAGGTAATAGTGATGCATAGGCACTATAATGTAAGTGATGGTGATGTATAGGNTACTATAATGTAGGTGATGGTGATGCATAGGCACTATAATGTAGGTGATGGTGATGTATATGCACTGTAATGTATGTAAATGCTACGAAAAAATGCACAAAAATGATCAAAATTGTTTGAGATCAACACAAAGCAAAGAATAACATCAAACTTGTCTATAACATCATAACATTACCTTGCCATATAAAAAACTAACAAATTATAGCTATAACATAACACCACCAGCAAAAGTTTATAATAGCGGTAATGAAGGGTATAAAAATTATATGAAAACAAGAGATTACAAGGTCAACTGAGTAGCTTAAGTTGCTCTGGTAAACTACGCATGTAAATAAATGCTGTGGAAATAATATAATTTTAAAGTTAAAAGAATTTAATATTAGAGTGAATATAATACAATATTAAAGTGAAAATAATACAATATTAAAGTGATAATAGTATAATAATAAAGTGAAAAAATACAATATTAAAGAGGTAACAATAGAATATTAAAGTGAAAAGAATGTAATATCAAAGTGAAAAGAATATAGTATCAAAGTGAAAATAATATAATATTAAAGTGATAATAGAATAATAATAAAGTGAAAATAATACGATACTAAAGTGATAATAGTAGGTATAATAATAAAGTGAAAATAATACAATAATAAAGTGAAAACAATATAATATTAAAGTGAAAATAATACGATAAAAAAGTGACAATAGTACAATAATAAAGGTATAATAATACAATATGAAGATTAAACGAGTTAGCAGCAGATGGTCATGCGAGCAGCATGGGTGTGATGAGGGACGCTATACCTTATAGGGTGACCATCATCCTGGGGGCGAGGGGGGAGGGGGGGCAGACATACATCAACGTAAAGATAGGTCGTACATTCTAAACATCATCCATGATTTATCTAACAATATTTAATGATTAAACACTTGTCGCAAATGAACCACTCTTCAAAAGTTATATTATGATATATTATAAACCAATATATTATAAGAATATTTATTATAAACAAATGAACACATTTCTGTCTGTAGGTGTACTTGACAGAGTACAGTGTGCACTCAGGTAAATGGATAGGTCATTTGTACAAATAACCACTCACTCTCTGCACGTAGCAGTGATACGCCAGTTTGCCGGGCCAAACTGGGTCAGGATGGCTCACACAACGCCAAAAGTGCGCCGTTATTTGGACAAGACCCATTGATTTCATTGAATGCCAGGTTCATTTGAGACTAGCGTATATATCGACCTCATGCAAAGCGGCGCTTAGGAAAGATATTAGTAAAATTAGTTCTTGAATAAACGACGTTCATAAGCTAACGTAATGAAAAAATATGTCTTACAGACATATATCGTTGAAAAACAATTCTTGATAGAGAAAAATAATAAAACCTAATTAGCAATATTTTCTTCGACAACTACACGATTATTGTCATTAAATTCCTCTACGACAAAGATTTAGACTAGAAGATAAATAACGTACATAGTATGTGTAGGTGCCGATATAGAGGGAAGAGGGGTGGGTAAAATGCATTCAATACCTACACATCAAGTTTATTTTAGGTATGAGAAAACTAGAATACATTATGTTTATGACTATGACATGAACATCTAGGGACCTGAGGAGTAGCAAGAAGTAATTATGAAAGCGCGTATACAAAATGCCGAAAAGTTCAGGATAGTCGAGTGACATTTACGGAAATTTAAACGAGTTTATTAGGATGTGTTTCGCAATGAGATTTCGTGAAGAAACGTGGTTCAAGTAAGAAAGAATGATAATTATAGAGCACATCGCCGAAAATGATAAAGGTTAGTTGAAAAAAAGTATGATTAAGTTGCGATTAGGCATGGGATTTAAGTAGGGTTCGTTAATAAATGAGTTGAAACGAGAGGTTGGAGATAACGTTGGCGATAACAACTTCAGCTATTCTTTTAATAGAAGTAGCGACCTTTTCCCTGCACTAGAAAATTAATCACGATTCACAGCTGCGATCAAGATATTCAGCTCATCCACAACCCAGGAAGCAGCAACAAAAATATCGTATATTACATTTCATGAAAATCATAGAGTAAGAAAAATCTATGTCAATGCCTTTGATAAGCCGGAGTTCCCTCAGCAGCTTAATTAAGCATTAATGCACATCTGAGAAATACTATAGAAAAATACATCATATGTGGATAATGGACTGGTAATTCACACATCACTTAAAATATTCCCGGAAAAATGCATTTAGAATGATGATTGATGAAGCATACGCATTACGCAGAGTATTCTATGATTAACTACTCTTTCACTGAGATAAACAACACAACTTTTATATCAAAAACATTAAGTTCGAATATAATGAGTGAAAACAATCACGGTTAAAAACAAAATAACAGCAGTAAAATGTACGTTGATTTTCATAAACTGTAATGAGTAATATTTTATATCGAATAATACAACAGGGGAGAAATTGTGTGCTAAATCTTGCTATAATTTCGAAAATGAATACCTATATTAATTCGTAAACAAAACCAACTCCGGAAACACGACGCACCCACCAGCGGTTTTCTCGTTGAACCTAATATACTTGAGCGTCCGCCAGCCAGAATCTTGCAACTTGGTCATTCCTGGCGACGAGAATTCCTCTATTGGAGTTATTTGGTCAGAGAATCCCTCTCTTCCAAACGCAACTTGCAGAGAAGTAGGAACTGGCACGGACTGGTCGTAGTCACAGGCATCGCAGTGAATATCGTGGCTTAATTCGTTGGAAGAGGAGTTCAGGTTTACAGTTTGGTTGGTGGTCGAAAGTGGTACATCAGCATGAAAGCTGTCATTCGTAACACTGAGAGACGCTGTAGCAGTGGATATAGCAACTTCTTCCAGTGTTTCTGAGCAGCGCACAGCCTCCTGCTGTGCTTCAGAGCTGCGCACAGCCTCCTGCTGTGCTTCAGAGCTGCGCACAGCCTCCTGCTGTGCTTCAGAGCTGCGTACAGCCTCCTGCTCTGTTTCAGAGCTGCGTACAGCTGCTGTGCTTCAGAGCTGCGCACAGCCTGCTGCTGTGCTTCAGAGCTGCGCACAGCCTCCTGCTGTGCTTCAGAGCTGCGCACAGCCTCCTGCTGTGCTTCAGAGCTGCGCACAGCCTCCTGCTGTGCTTCAGAGCTGCGCACAGCCGACCTTATCGCGCTGCGCACGCTGGGCAAGGCGCTGCTGATGCTCGTAAGGAACGGCGCGTCATCAGGACTTGGCGAAGGAAGCAATCCTGACGACGACGTAAAGGTCGAAAGGTTTCCACCGTCATTTGTTGCCGACAACGTATACGTCGAAAAGTTTCCACCGCCCTCATTTGTTGCCGACGATGTATACGTCGAAAAGTTTCCACCGTCATTTGTTGCCGATAACGTAACCGTCGAAACGTTATCTCCGTCAATTTTTGTTGACAAGCAACTTGAAGCAGTTTTATTTTCTGTCGCAGGTAAAACACTTTTACTGCCTATAGCGGCTGAAATAATTTCATCAATAGAGGCACATTCGTTAGCAGCGCTGGACGAAGTCGGTTGTGGAATTGAAAATTCGGCGATTTCGGATGGACCACATGGATCTTTTATTACTGTTACACTTTGTTCCTCGATCTCCAGTTGCTGTCCTGGAATATTTTCTAACCAATCTTCAGGTTTAGCATTACTTTTCGCATTGGAATTTGAAGCTCCGTTTTGATCAGATACAGACAGTTTCTTGGTGGCAGTTTTTTTGTCGTTCTCCGTGCCACTGTCCATGCTTTCAATACAATCCTCGTCTAAAGCAGCGTGTAAGGAAAATCGGTAGATCCGTGAAATCTTCAACAAATTATTTAATTTATTTTAATTTAATTCAATGTAACGTCTAATCCACACTGTAAACTTTGGCGACGCAACAAATATGCAAACAAAAACGTTTTATATTCCTAATCTACATATGGTAGTATTCATCATATCGATATCGTCATATATAACGAATATGCCCGAGATAAAAAAAAATCAGCCGCTCTGCATTATATACATGCCTTCCTTTCAAAGTAAAAGGATATATGTACAAAAAATATCAAAAATTTCCGCCAAGAAGCAGTTATAGACAGCAGTGCTAGCAGCAACGGATCACTCGGTCAAGTCAACACAAATTAGACCATCAAAGCGGACAACTTTACCCAGACTGAAAAATGAGAGCTCAGACGTCTCCTGCTCATGCTGTTCATCCTCAGACCAGCTCGCCGCAATCATGTCAGCTACAACACAAGCGTTCCCTTGCTATTTTGCTTCATTAAATCACCTATTTAATGAAGCTATTTCACTTTAGAAAACGCCTGCATCCCCACTATTTCACTTAAATTTAACTTTAAATGCTATTATCAGCCAATAAAAGCCGTAGTACGGACGCGTTTTGATGTGGATTGAGCAACATAAAAATATAGCACCAGTGATAAGTACACGGTAAAAAATTGCCTTAGCGAGGAGAAGTAAGAGGAATAGATTAGGAGGAGTAGGAGCTGGAGAAGGAGCAAAAAGGAACTGAATAAGGAAAGATATGTACGAAAAGGAGCTGGAGAAGGAGACAGAAGAAGGAATAGGAACTGAAGAAAGAGAGATAGGAAGGAAAAGGAACTGAAGAAGGAGATATAAGAAGGAATAGCAGTTGGAGAAGAAGACATAAGGAATAATAGCAAAAAAAGTATCAATAAGAAGGCATAGTATAATAGACATAAGGAATAACAGCAAGGAAAGTACGTAGCAATAAGAAGGTAGAGTATAATGAAGGTTACCGGGGTTGAAGGCATTGAAGACGACAGATCCAGGCACGACGGTGCTGAGGCTGTCACACGAGAAGTCCAGGATACTGAGCAGCGTCTTGGTCAGGCTCAGCAGGTCGCAGAAACTGTAGAAGCCGAAGTACACTAGGTGCTGTGCCAGGTTCACCACCTGACACATAAAAATATATCCAAACTTGCGTAAGTACGACTTAGTTCAAATATCAACGCACTTACGTGCCATGGATGTGCGTGCTACAGTAAGAGTAATGAGAGGGGCTATGTCTAAATAGCCAAGAATATTGCGGGCCCTAGTGTGTTTAATTCTGACACAGTTTGGCCAGCAAGAGGAGATATCAGTCCTACGCGATAAAAGTGTCGATATGTGGACAATTTGACTCGTTTATTACGTGAAGTGCGAGTCACTCAGACGGGCATGGCATGTCAGAACAATGAATGCTTATCAACACTCCTTCACCTCACACCACCCTCACCGCTCACCACCATCCCCTCACACCACCCTCCCCTCACACCCCCCTCCCCTCACACTACCCTCCCCTCACACCACCCTCCCCTCACACCACC